GTATTTTATTGTACGGGATACAGTCAACGCATGTACATGACATGAAAGTCGCTTGCGTTCTTCACATTTTAAAGTTGGTTCCTAATTTTTCGTGGTCGCCTGTGTTTTGATTGGACGCTTGATTTTTTTCAATGACTGACTTTGAATGACGTACGAGGTGACATGCGAATCTCAGAAAGGTAGTGTAGTAATAAAATTTTTATATATAGATTAATTACCCTATATCCCTACCGTTTATACTTATAACAAGAACCGTCTTCTCGCTGGAACATTTCATTCGTATTTATCTTCTCCTAGGACAGAAAGCCCAATAGTATCCTTAAATCTTGCAAGCATGTCTCTCATCGTTGTGGCATGGCAAAGTTCTTTGGATCCCAATCCACTTCTTCAATAAGAACAAACCACTCTTGGTTCGCACCCTTGATAAAACCACGTAAGACCAGTTTTACAGTATCGCCATGAATTTACCAATAACCACACTGCAGTATATCCCTGTAATTTGTGTCAGTTGTCGCAGAATTGCTGATAATCGGGAACTGCTTACCTTTCTCTTGGTGTGTACAACTTCTCCGTCATAAAACCATCTGGTGCTGAAGTGTAGTCTTGCTCCGTTACATAAAAAGTACGTGGCATAAAAGTCTCCATTTCATGTTCCAACAAGGATAGATTTGACTTGACCTGAGAAAAAAGCCCGAATCTTGCGCCGTTGTCGAGTTGAATAATCATGGGGTGCAACCATCCCTCACAATCACCTTTCTCACAAAAACCGAGATCCATTGGCTCTCCATTCGGAACATTCGTGTTCTCTGTAAACATTACAGACACCCCTTATATAACTCAAAGCAGGATCAACACGTTTTCGTGAGTCCGAACCGGGTTTTAACGAGTCTTCTCACATGTTAAAAGAAGTGCTTTAAAACCGAATTGCTCTTAACAGGAACCAGTGTCCCTGCTTGATTGGCCATTTGAAGATCGTCCATGAAAATGAGTACTGCATCCATCAGCACGGAACATCAGCAGGTTTGTTCTTCCCCGCAAAATTCTTCGAAGATAGCTGAGTTAATGGCATCTCGATCTCGATTCAGATAAGTAGCAACTTGAATGTTCTCTGGTGGAACATGGGTTGGGCCAACCAGCAGGCGTCATTGATGGTCTCAATATCTTCTTCTGTTGGTCGCCCTTCACGGAATCTTAACAGCGTTGCCCCCATTCAGGATCGTCTTTGAAGCGGTGCATTCCATCTACTCAATAAATGAATTCAGAAGTCATGAAATTCAGGAATGGTGTGCTGAGATTGTAAATTGGGGGCGTCCACTGGTTCAAGTTGAGAGTAGTCCCCGCGAACACCAAGTTAAGTCCCCCAAATGGTTGGTATTCGTCTTGCATCAAGGTCTTGGTGTAGTGGAATATCTTCACTAAGTCAAGTTCCCCCGCGAATGAAATTTCGTCGATGATAAGACATCCGTGCGTCACTCCATTCTTCTACCAAGTTCTTCGCCACACTTCCCGAGTTCTGTTCAATCCCACAGCTGAATGCGTTGTTTCCCCATGCAGTATTGTAGCAGCAACCCCGACATAGCAGTGACAACAATGGTTCGGTCGTTAAATGGATGATCAATCAAACCTGCAGAATTCTTTGCCATAGGCATGACTAAGTCAATTACGGTAGTCTTCCCACTTCCTCAGGCCCATGTAGAAGAAGAATCAGTTGGGTGCCACGTACTTCCCTTCAAAATCAAAAGTTTTTACGAGAAAGTCGGACTTTTGCCTTCAACCCCATATCCGGACTCCATCCTCTAAGTCCACCTTTTCAGCTTCCTCATAAAATTCAACAAGAAGGCTGCAATGATACACTCGAAAGCCCTTCTCTGTTTGTCGTCCAGATTGGCAGCCGTTGCCCAGTCACTTATATTTCTCACGCTTCCATTCGCTGCGACACTTCAACCTGCGATTGTACTTAAATACATTTGCCCTTGGATGCACTCCCGTTTGTTAAGTAGAACTTCAATGATCTTGTGATATCGAGGTGTAGCGGTTTCACTTTGCTTCTCTTTGTAGTGCCAGTCGTGTGAAAGTCAGCACTTATGGTAACAAATCCGTCTTCATCTAACGAATTTCAGGAATGGGTAACTGCACTTGTATCCTGCGTTGTCGCTTCCATTGTGACGTATAGCCGTAAAACTAAGACCATCAATGTGCTTGCCAGAAAAGTCCCGGTTTGAATTGTGTGCCCTGGCTCTCAAGATCACTGTATCCAATCTTCGTAAACTTTTTGAATCAGATCATCTCCTCATGTTCGTGCTCATAATCAGATTCGTTTTCGTACATGTCCTCCTCCCAATGTTCGGTCTATAGGGCTTGGACTCGTTGAAGATCATCCCTTTCACTTAAACTCGGGTGTTGAAAGCGGTGTCTTGAATGTCCTGGATGAATGACAGGTTCCTTTCTGAAAAGACGACGGGTTCTTCGTAATTCGCTTTTCTCAGAACATCGTTATTCATACACTTCACGAAGTCTTTCAGCGAAGCATAGTTGGTCTGGGTACGGACTTCTTTAAATCAGCCAGACATCGATGCGGCAAGTACAACCCAATAGCTAGTCGAATACGTAGACTTCTACAGGGCCTTCTAAGTAATGCGCGCCGGGTATAATTCAAACCTCTGCCCCCATCGGTACCATTACCCCTAAAGCAAATCGTCTCCAGGAGACGAAATTTCACAGCTTGCTGGCTAAACCTTCCCCAGGTCCAAAATCTGCTTCTCGCATGACAACGAGCAAACAGATCGACCATGATAGGGCGACAATGAGCTTCAAGAACACCGCTGATGGCAGCAGGGCTAGCAGAACTGGTAGCAGCGGCAAGAACAAGAATGAGAAACGGTATGGATCGTCGGGTGGGAAATGGAAGCTGCAATCGTACACTCTTCGCTACGCTCTGGGTGCCATGGAGAAGCAGGCCCACGAAATCCACAAAAAGGCAAAGGTACTTTATTCTTGGAGCTGTTGCTCTCGTCGTGTATGAATGTATGTATGGAATTGCAAGTGGATTGACTCTTTGATTATCGATCTTGTTCGAACAGGACCCGGTGCAGCAGAAACGACTAGAGCAACTCACTGCCGAGACCATTGGCCGTGTTCGACAGCGTTTGAATGAGCAGCGATCTGTGAGTGAGTGAGTCTGGCAGGAGTGTCAGTTCCGTACTGCTAAATCATTGAGGTTTCTCATGTCTTTTTTATGAATTACTCCACATCTATCATTTTATTAAAAGCTTCCTTCCAAGTATCAAAAAGCTGAAGACCCCTGTGTGGATAACTTGGAGCAGCTGAATCGACAACGGCAGGGAGAAATTAAGTCCAACCAAAAGCTTCTAGCGGCTTTGCAGAAACAAGTCAAGGAAAACGAAAAAGAAATCCAAAGGATGACCAAGGAGAAAAGAGCCCGAAAGAAGAAACTGGACAATCTACTACTACAAGCACAGGAAGAAGATAGTAGTGATCACGGCCAGCAAGTTGATGATGATTTGCTGCCCGAGGACAATCCTGAGGAGACTTGGTCCAATCAACACCAAGTCCCTAGATCCTTGCAGGAAGCAAGCGATTCCAGCAGCTATCGGTTGGCTCCCAAAGGCACCATGGTCAAATTTCTCGATGCACTAAAGAGTTGCAGTCAAGATTAGACTAGTCACACAGAACGAGCAAATTGAGCGCTAGTCTACAGTTTGATGACGCGCATCGTCTGGGTTGTCCGTCCGGTTGGTGACACTGGCTGGTTTGGGCGGCAACACATCCTATGGTACCCTCTGTAGCAAGCAAGAACAGACATGAAAGAACGCATCAGAGTATGCTCCACAGAGTCCAAGACAGCGGGGACCTTGATGCCGTGACGGAGAACTCTTGAAGTCTCAAATCCCATGGGTGCTATTACTTCTAGAATGCTACAAACTTGTATCTTATTACTTCTAGAATGCCAGCTATGGTGCTCATTGGCAGTGCTAAGATGGTCTTTGGCCAAGATGTCGCTTGTTTTCGGTCAAGTTGACACAATCAGTACGGTTCTTTGTTTCTGTAGCCTTCCACATTCGCGCGTCATTGGCTGCCACCAAAAATTGCCAATTTGTTCATGAAAGAAAAACATCCTGAAATCTTTGTAATGATTGTTGTGTTGTGCCGTTGTAAACTTTTTCCCTAATCAAACTGTCCTGACGCTGGTGGCACGGTTCTTCCTCCCACTTTGGGATCCATGGTCAAAAAGTGATCCCAGGACACCCAATCCCCCGTTTCCGTGTAATACTCTTCTGGTTTTTTGGGAATGTAGGGTGTTCGGAGATTCCCATTGGCCACCAAATCATCGAATTCTTCCTGCGTGTCGGGCCCCAAGTTGTACTGAACCCACCGTCGAGCATCCAAGTAGGGCAGTTTGCGAGGTTTTCGTTTCAGAAATCTCTTGGTATTTTCTTCTTCCAACCGCAGTTTGGCCGCCCTCCAGGAAATCTCTTTCATCATGCCATCATTATTGTCTTCTTCCTTGCTCATCATCAGTCTCATGAGATGATCATTGGTAGTAGCAAAAGCAGAAATGCTACCGGTACACGTAGCAGGAGAAACCACAAAGGCAAGTGATACTTGGAGGAATGCTCCAGTCAACCAAATCGTATGGACCAGTAGAGCTTTCATTGTTTTCATTGTGGGCTTCACACCTTTTTTGTTGGTTTATCAAGATGGTGCCTTCAGAACTTTGACGACAACAATAACAGAAAAGAGTTCTGGCCGAACAGAAAAAAATGAGGAGGAGACATCTGTTTCCGTCTTTGGAGGTGTCATTGCTTTGTTCTCACAACGCGTACACGTACGCCTGTGTTTCACAGCTTTGCTGTGTTCTCATCGGAGGCAGCATCGACGACCATGACACTCGATCGTCGACGGCCGCTGGATCCCTCCGCTACCGTACTGCAATAAGACGCTATCATCACCATGGCTTCCTCCATCTTGATGCGACGGGCTCTCTCGAGACTGGCTACACGTTCCAATGTCGTTGCTACTACTAGTAGGCGACCAACCATGGTGGCTTTCTTCTCGGCGCAAGCAGAGACACCGACACCTGGCGTTGGCAAGTACAAGACGTCGACCGGCCTGGTACGTTGCTCTGTTTGTGGTGTGTGTCATCAATCTGAATTCTGCTAAATGGAGATCTGTATTCTAATGTAATGTAGGTCGGTCTAGCGGTGGAACCGGATTGGTACAATGTCTTGATAGAGAAGCACCAGTCCCTCTTGGACAAGATGGAAGCCAGTGAGATGCCCGAGACGGCACAGTATCGGATTGATGTCACCAAATGGTGCAACTTTACCCTCAAGGCCGTCAAGTCCAACCCCGAAAACCCAGAAGCCATCGAAGACATTTGCAACATGGGTCAGGTAGAGGAAATGATTGAGCAAGCCGACGATGAAATGGCTGTCTTGGACATGTATCTGGAAGATCGAATTTGGGAACTGGTCGAACAGGCCAATCCAACGGTGGACTACAATCCGGATCCCACCGTAGACCCAATGGGTGCAGATGGAGATCCCGATGTTGCGGATGCCATTCGTGAGGGTGTCGAAGGACTCTCCAAAGAATAAACCAGATATTTAGCTACATTTCGTCCCGTGATGACACTCAAAAGGCACCGTTGCCTGGGTAGCAATCAATCAGTACTATGCAGTGACTTAAACTCAAAATACATATTTGTTTTCATCGTAGGCTCCATGCGAGGAAAGTGTTGATATCCCAAGTCGACAGGATGCTCAGTGACATCACCAATGTAATCTGGCTCTTGTATGAAGCGGGCTCGAAGGACAGGTTCGTTACACGAACTACAGCTGTTCGGTACCCCAACTCTTCCCAACCGTATCGGTTGTGTTGAACAAAAATTAATTGATGGCGCCCACTATTGCAGGCTTTGATGATAGAGGTTGGGGCCCAAATATTGCAAGATACTTTTGCAAGCTGTTCATTTGTATTCTCCAGTGTACGACATCATATTCTAGCTGTGTGTCCTTCCGCCTTTTCTTGTTGTTGTGACTGGTGCTACACATACATGTACCAAGAGTCCCTTTTCTGAGTTGGGTCCAGGTCTTTCGTTGCATTGCTCAAATACCGTACTGAAGCTGCAGCTCGGGGCCACACTTCCTTCACTGTCTTTGTTGGCACTATCCATCTCAAGCTCCGCATTGGCTGCACCTCCAAAGTCAAGGATTTCAGCACTCAAAAGATACGAAGGTGACGTACCGGTACTAGTACGATAGATACTCTGCATCCTGCCGAAAGGTGCGATTACCTACCGTATACTAAACGGTACCCTATAGAACAACTAATCTAAGTGGTCATACACTTTTCTTTATCTATTTTTCTTTATCAAGTACTACTGGTATCATGATTGTTGTTATTGTCGTTGAAAACTGGCGACACTTTGGTACATGCAAACGACGGACTCGACCCACATGAGTGTGTTGACCAGTGGATCCGATAGCCACGGCTGGGTATCCCAATTGGGCAAGGACCAATGAATCGCGGGCAAAGCAAACAGCAAATCGCGGACAATTTGCAATCTCAAATTCTGCATGGTGGCGCGAGTGGATTGTATACTGACCCTGGCAGTTCCATCATCTTCCTCGTCATCATCGTCAGTTTTTTTCTTGTGTTCCAACTGATTCAATTGATTCTTGTGTTTACGAAGTTCCAAGAAACACTGGAGGATTTCCGTGACGATATAGGCGAACCAACAACGACACGACCATGCCGATAACTGTTCCGCCAAGCGAGACGGTCCTGCCGTTTTGGGAAATAGCAATTTGGGAGTTTGCCATTGAACGTAAGCGGCATGTTCGAGAGGATAATATCCGATCATGGTCCACGCCAGGATTTTTCCCAAAATCTGTCCCTTTGGATTGTAACTCCAACTGCCACTGCGGGCGGCTTCCAAAGCAGGCGGCAATTGAAGAAGTCGTAGGACGTAACGGGCAAAACTGAGTTCATTACAGAGTTTGCGAAGGGCATCCCGTAACACGGTCTTGTCTTTGTAGTAATAGGAAATCATCCAGAGGGTATATTGCAAGAGTTTGATGCCTCGATCTTGATTGATACCCGGGCTCATGAATTTGGTGTATCCCTGCAAGAAACGGTCCAGAAAGGAACGGGTATCCAACGTCATATTATTATCATTGGAAGGATGTTCCACCATCAAGGGGGGAGAACTGCTGCTGTCGGGGCTGCGGCATCCGTCTGTCATTTTTCTTTATTTGTAAAAGAGTGAGAGATTGCTTTTTTGTGGCTTTGGTCAAAGATAATTCAAAAATAATAATGGGATTCTCTTATTAGCTAGTCATCCCTTGCCAATCTCTTTCACGGAATCTTCTGAACTTGATAAGAGTCGAGTCAATGATGCATTGCCCACGGCCATCATGTTGGCACCAACAATCGGGATGCGAAGAGATGAGGGTGGCGTCATGTGAAGCCTGACAACCCTCCGTTCAGTGGGCAGAAGGCTGTTTGCTCAGTGGATTGAAGATTGCACAGAAGATCCACGGATCTTTCGGATCTTCTTGACTGTCACAAAAGGACATTCTTTCTTTTACAAGCCACCGCACGGAAGACCCAACAAGCCGACGTAAAAGGCTTCTCATAGATGACTCACAGAGCACAGACATCATCATCAAGTACGGTACCCTTGGCATCTATCTTATCCAACCAACCCCATTTGCCACAACCAGACAACCGAAAAGCGAGTATATATATCACCATCATAGCTTTGCTCTAGCTAGAGAATCTTCCGGTACGGTATACCATCCAAATAATGAGACAACCAAGCCTGGCATCTCTTGCCCTATTCCTATTCTTACTGCTGCATGTTGTACCAGAAGAAGTATCGGGTCAGTTTTGGGCGCGAGAAGGTGCCAAAGAAAAGGGAGACCACGAAGAAGTAGTTCACGGCGGCGACGACGAGAATTCTCAAAAGATCCATCTTCCTGTAGTCAAACTCTCCAATGATAATACCATTCCATTGGTTGGGTTGGGTGTGGGGAACTTGCAGCACTACGTGGTACCACTCATGGTGGCGGGTGCAATTCAGGACGACAAACGAACACGGCTCATTGATACATCGCATATCAGCGACAATGAACACCTCGTGGCAGAGGGGATCCAGGAAGGGATGGAACGGGTCTTGGGCGGCAACGACAGAATAGTGACAATCCATGTCGTCACCAAGGTATGGTATACCTATTTGGGATACGAACGCACAAAACTATCCATTCGAGAATCCTTCCAAGCCTTGAAATCTGCCATGGACCATCCCAGGGTAGACCTCAAGGTACACATCTTATTGCACTGGCCGCGCTGTTACGACAACATTTCATGGATGAGTTGTCAAGAAGATGAAGCACGAACACCCCACCATATCAAAGCGGCAGGACCTCCACCCCATCAAGACAAGGATGCTTGGAAGGGCAGTTGGAAGGCACTGGAAGAAGCATATCTGGGGGACGAGTTTCCCATTCGCAGTATTGGAGTGGCCAATTTTCACTTAAAAGACATGGAAGAACTAGAGGAGTTGGCACAAGTACAGCCACACATTTTGCAACTCAATGTCTGGTCACTCCTATACGATTCACAGCTCATTGACTATTGCTACAAGCACGGAATTCATGTACAGGTATACAGCATCTTGAATGGAATTGTCACGGAACCACAAAAGGCACCCAATGCATTTCATCATTTGCAAAAGGTCGCATCCGAATTGACCGACGACAAACAACCACACAGCCAACAGGAACAAGAAGAAGACGAAGTGTCACCCGCGCAAGTCGTCTTGGCATGGCTGGTACAGCATGGAGTGTCCATTGTTCCACGAACATCACGGCTCAGTCGATTGAAGGAAAACTCGGCCGTGGCACTGGCATCGGTGCCGGATCTGTCCGTGGAACAAGTGGAAACCGTGGCCCATTCGGTCGAGGCATTTTTAAGTGAGGATGATTTGGAAAAGGATATTCACGTCAAAATTACCTTTCATGCCACCACAAAGGATACCTTTTTGTATTGGAACACACACGATGGGGGTGAAATTAAAGTGGCATTTATTCCAAAGGGAGAGAGCTTCAATGAAATGACATATCCCAATCATAGCTTTCGACTATACGATGCACGGAACAAGGACCACTTTATAGAGTACAAGGTGGACGCCAAATTTGGATCGCATGAACATGTTCATGCGGAACTGTAAAACGAAAGAAGAAGAAGAAGAGACAATAATACACACACTTGTAGATAGGGAATTGATTACAGTCTCATCGCTGCTGCGCGTTTTTCGGTGGGATGATGGTCACAGCTATCTATCTACCCTGATGAGTTGCCTTTTTGAGCACAGCAACTCTCAATGTGTATTTGTTTTATTCATTCAAGTTTCCCTTGTGATCCGCATTGCATCGATTTCCAACTCAAGGCTGACGCAGTCGCGTTCCATCGTGTCAGAGGAAGAGGCAATCAAACGGCTTGGAACGACGTCAAAAGGCAAGCAATACGAAGGCTAGTGCGACAATCGTCTTCAAATCCGCTGCGGATGGACAGCGACCACCACAGCGGTTGTAAAGCCCAACGAGAAGGAGCTACTGTACGGCACGCAGTAGCCAACTACCGGTGCTGTGCTGTGGCCAAGTAAGTTCCAGTCCGCCTGAATTGCAGGTTGGCTGGTTGACCCCACCACATGCATACGATACAGTAAGTAAATATTCATTTTGATACTACTTTCTTAGTTTTGAACTCCTTTCGTAAGTGCCACTCACAATAAAACTTTCCGTTTTCCTCTTTCTAGCTTTTGTGTGGTTCTTTTCCACTCACAATACAATGCAAACTTTCGTTTTCCTCTAGGTACTTCGATGATTCTGTTTCCTCTTGTTTCACTCGCTCTCCCTCTGGGGCTCCTTTAGCTTGTCTCTTCTCCATGTCCTACATGCACCTTCCTAGGCATAGCCGGACTTTTCAGCCAAGATGTGCATGAAACGACGAGCGCCGCTGAAGGAGGCCCAGGCCAAGAGTCGGATGAAGAGTTCCTCGTCTTCGTCGCAGTCCTCAGGGACAGCTTTGGCAAGTCTTTCGTCCACCTGGTACAGTCGTACGGAGCCTTGGCGAGGCTGTCAGGATTCTTGTCTTTGCCGTGGAGGCCCACCAAGTCCAGAACGGATAGCTAGCTAGACAAACAATGGTATCTTATAGTGGTGTATCGTAGTCTTATCGCTCCGCCTGAATGGCAGTGTTCATCAAGAAATGGCATACTAGCTGGTACCATTCTTTTTCCCAACAGAGCAGTGCATGCACATGGTTTTAGACGGGGAACTGATACGCGGGCGCATCAATAGTTACCGCTCCTACTTTGAGGGACTGGGGAGGATGGATTAGTACAGCAGTCTTCAATATTCACAGCTGCACAACTCGTGCCACTCTCTTGGTTCCCTCTTGTATACAGGCCATTCGTCCATCCTTCTGCGTTTTCGGGTCAAATTCAATGGAATCAGGAGGAAGGAAGGAATCAGAATCAAATGTTTGGATTCTTAGGAAGATCGTCTTCGGACAAGAAAGGCACAACACTTTGCCATGCAGATTGCTTGGAACTTGGCCAACATGACAAAGACCGGTCTTAGCATTTGGCACATGGCAGCAATCAGAATGCGCAGTCCCGTTGCTCCTCCGGGCAAAAAGCTAATCAGATAGTAGACGAGTGCCACAATTTGCAAAGCCGAACAGACCATGACAATGACGTAACCACGAGCTCCACCCAGATTAAAAGTGAAATGCAGTGTTGCCACCATGCTCGCCACGTAAATTGTTGTGAAATATTTTCGGTCTCCAGCACACATACTCTTCAAATGTTCCATGGGTCCCTTGAGAATGCCAAAGCTACCCATAAAGAGAAGACTCCCAAACGTAAAGGATATCGCAAATTTCTGAGGTCGTGTAGTGATCAATGGCATTCCTACTCCAAATGCCAGCGCAAAAAAGACGATCGACAGTAGAATTAGCGCTGTAAAGACCTGCCATTAAACAAGAAAGGGTAGTAAAATGGAGTGTCGTTAGCTCTAACCAAGGCAGACAGGATAATGAGGGTAGCATGTCGCCGTCCTGGATGATCTATCTGATACGGTACCCACCTTGAATCTCTGTTGATAGTTCATCCCCAATATCTTTCTTGGCATTTGGGATTCCATCGTCTCTCGAATGTTCTGAAGACTCATGTTTGGCATCCCATCGTAGAGAGGCAGCAGCTGATCCGTGCCCACATTGACATTGCCGATATCCATTCCAAACCAATTGCTACCACCGCCGCCCTCTTCGGCTGGTTGCTGATTTTGGGACCAATTTCCAAAACCAGACATTGTCTCTTCGTAGCTTATAATTGACTGAGTTTGGATAGAGTTGTAGTTGTAGCCCTTCTGTCTCTCCTCGGTGCAAGGCTTATTACAAGCTAGCTAGTTGTTGCGATGCTCGCCAAAGTGAGTCGATGGGTGCGTGTGTTCTCGATGTTGGTGTCTAAATTTTGTCACGAGTTACAGACGACTGAACAAGCCGGAAAGGCTGGAAATGCACAAACGTGGGCACGGTCTCTCGTAGCTAGCCAGAGTTTAGTGATGTAACAGTGGCCGGTACCGGTGCCGGTGCCTGGGTTTCCTGGTGCGGTATGTATGATTCGATTCGATTCCGTGTTTGTGGTCTCCTTCCTTGGAACTTTGATCAGCGATACACGCAACAGGCAAAACAAAGGCTACAAGATCTTTCAAACCAGAGGGATCAATGATACCGTAGCGCACGGTGTGCAAGTAGCAGTGCTTTCCCAAGCAGTGCCGGTATTCGCCATAGTTCTTTGACAGTATTACCATTACCAGACTTGGTTTATGTTGTTGAATGTCAAGAGAGAGTCGAGTCCCAGGCTCGGTCCATCGGTCCTTACGATATACCGGTGGCTATCGGTGCATCTGGATTCTGGATGTATGGAGTGTTACGTAGTACCGGTGCCAGAGTACATGTACGTACGTACCGATACCATGGCACCGGTACCGTACCGGTAGGGCTCGAAGAGGCTTTCAACTGGGCAAATTCAAACGGGGCCCATGTTCACGGATAGAGAACCACGTAGACGGCATGTGCCAGCGGAAGCTTCGAGCGAATTCAATTTAATTGGCAAAGTCGCCTTCGAAACTTGGGAGAGCAAACGGCGCGAAGAACACCATTGCTCATTGCTACAAACGCTTGTCCAAAGCTAGCTAGTGAGTGAGAGAGAGAGAGAGAGACAGACAGAGACAGAACCATAGCCATGACGAAAGAAAGCTTGCGCAAGAAACACGAGGAGCTGCCGCCTTCATCTTCGTCATTCGAATCGAATCTCCGTTCGTAGGTGTAGTGAAGGCAGGAGACTGTACCGTCGGGTAGTTGAATCCTGATTGTCTTGTAACGAAGGGCACGGAAAGGTTGTAACGCGCAACTCCAACGTATCCCAAAATGGCACCCGATGCTGCATTGCGCCACGCCAATTCGATGTAGACTTAGTCAGTCGCCTACCGGTACTACCGTATTCGTATAACACTTTGTAGGTCAAATATTCTTCCGCATGGTTTTTCTAGTAGTTCGAATCATCCACAGAGCATAGAGGGTTTCCTAGGTACCAACAAGTAGGTTCATTTCTTTGTTGTTGCATGCGAGATAGTCGTCTTGCCTGAATCTGCTATGTTCTTCTTGGACAACAAGCAAAATCGTTCCTTGGTTCTCCCTTTGAGTACATGGATACCGATGTAACCAATCCTTTCAAGCCTTCATGCGTTTATTTCATTCTTTGCGTATCATATGATGATGCCCAGGGGTCAAAAACCAGAAGGTGCATAGATCATGTCGGACTCTGAATAAATTCCTCGTGACTTGTCGTCATTCCACCCAACGCCCTTCTTCTGCCTCTATCTTTTCCTGCTTGTTGTTCCTCTCAAAATGGCTTGTTCCCCAACATGGCAAATGCCAGTCCCATCCCCCCATACGCCATGGCCCCCACGAAGGGTTTTGGGAATTGTGGGTTTCGGTAAAAGAACATTGGATCCACAAAGGGAACACTTAGGTTGTACCGCATAACTCCAACATATCCCAAAATGGCGCCCGATGCTGCATTGTGCCACGCCGACTCTCGCCCTTGAATGGCCACCATGGGGCATTGGAGTGTATTGTAGAGGTAAATCCCACCCATGTTGAACATGGCCAGTTGTGGCGAAAACGGCATGCCCTGTGCCACGCTGAGACCGGTAAAGAGACCCCCGAACATGACGCTGGGAGTAATGGGGTCCATCAGACAGTGTTTTTGATAATAGACATTCATGGCTTAGTCTAAAGTCAGTGCCGTAGGTATTGTTTGGACAAGCTTTTTGGATAGCTATGGGCTCGAGCGAGAGGTACTGTATCCTTGGGGGTATCCGTGGGCGACACCAAAATCTTGGTTGTGGATGGAGGGTTTGTGTTTGTGGTGTCAACACGAAGATAGCCATGAGCTTGTGAGTAGAACAGCGGTGGTGCCAGTTTCGTGGGCGGCACCAGAATCGAATCTTTGTGTGGAGCGTGTGGTGGTTGTGGTGTCAACTTTTGAAAAACCTGAGCCCTAAAACACTGACTCAGTGTTTTCTTCTTCAACACCTCATCCTCCATGCATGCAAGCAACAACAGCCTTCAAAGATCTGTCGAAGATGACGCCCTTCTTGCGCGATGCTTCATTCAATTAATTGAGTAGCTAACACTGAGCTGTATCTGGGTAGCATTTCCAATGTTTTGTAGTGGATCAAGATGAATCTTCCTGTGTTTTACCTCTTGATTTGGATTGGTATCCGTCGTAGCTTGGTAGTGGCCTTTGTGCCATCCTGTCCAACTGCCACCGGTACATCAACAAGATCATCAGCACTCGACAACCCGCACTCCTGCTTGTACTCATCCACCGATGACTATAACTTTATGGCCAGTTTACAAAAACGCATGGATCAAGTGATGGAACGAGATACCACACTCCCACTGGTTGTGTTGGATGCAATGCTACCCCGTCAGGTTCTGAATATTACTGTCAAGAATGGTCTCTTGATGGAACTTGTTCGACAACGTCTCCAAGAGGAAACTCCCAGTTTCGGTATGGTGGGACATGCCAAATTGGCCAATGGCAAGCAAGTCACTCTGTCGTCGGGCGTCGAAGTGGAAATTGTGGGCAATCCCAAAGTTACCGACGAAGGACTGCATTTGTCTCTCAAAGGGACGCGACGTTTCCGCATTTTTGACAAGGAACAAATCGAAACGACACCATCCGGGTGGACTCAGGCCAAGGTGCAGTTTTTGAATTCCACACAAGAGGATCGAGCAGATGATACTGATACCATGAGCATGGCCCGGGCCATGCAAATGGCACGCGAATTCTCCGAACCCAACTTGGCCATGGAAGAACAACAATCGTTGGTAGAAATGTGGCTCGAACTCGCACGGACTAGAGAACGACGACCGAATCAGATCGATCAGTTGTTGCAAGACTTGGGACCCATGCCCAGTTGGAAAGACCCTAGTGAATGTGCCTTTTGGGTCGGAGCACTCATCAACCCCATTCCCGCCATGGGAGTCGCTTTTGAGATTCGACCCAAACTCTTACTGGCCAAAACGGCGGAAGAACGAACCCAGATTGCACTTGATGCCATTTGGAACTCCATTCAACACATGCAAGGGGCCGATCGATTCGAACAGCGGAAAGGGTGGTGATGATACTATTATCACTGCACAACTCGGTACATGTAAATACTATATAATCTGAAGCTTCTCTCTTTGGTAAGGAGCGAAAACGACAGATGTCGTTTCAATGTCGTGCTTTTTGCACGTATGATGAAAGGAGCGAATGGAATATCTCAATCTCGCTGCTTCACCTCGTGTCGTCTCAAATAGAATTCAACGACCAGGTATAAAAATGACTCCCCAGAACGAACGTTACTCTGTCAAAGGAAGATTCTTGATTTTATAGATGTTGAGAACGGCATCGTCGCCGAATCTAGCCTCCGCTGCTGGGGCAAACGTTGACGAGGAGTGGAGTCTTCAATCAATCTCTGTGCTTGTATTCCTGGCTGGCTTGGCATCAGCTCAACCAATGACCTTGGAGGTGCGGATCATTCAATCACTCCATCCGTACGGTGCACTGTACACCGCTTCCAAACTCGAGTAAGCTCAAGCAAGGTTCGTCGGAAGGCAGAGGATGAGCTTTCAACTCGTGGTAGGCCGCTTTGTCCTTTCGGTGTCTCGAGTGGCCATGCCCTTCCTTAGGTGTTCTGGAGCACTCGGCTGGACTGTCACTCTTGTGGCATCATGATGCTCAACTCCCCCGCTGCAACATAGTGCCGGCAATGTGCAAGACGGTAGGGATTATTTGATTCGTTCTTTTGCAAAGAACCATACTACCCCATCTTGAGTTCATTCACGGTTCGATCAGGTCGGTGGCGAAGAAGATGACAGTGAAAATATCCATTCATCCATCCGCAAATGGAAACAGGGCCAAGCCCAGAAGCAGCAACCTGCCCAGCAGATCACTACTTGAAGCCAGTTCAGGTTCCTCGGAGGAAACGACACGCAAACCATCTGAAAAACTCTCAGAGGCTGCGCTAACCCAAGCGTCACAAGATTCAGCAGCCATCCGGGCAGGAAGCATCGGTTCTGCGAAATACAAAGTTTTGAGTCTTGTCGCCCTTGCCATGTTATCCACTTCCTACTGTACGGTATGTCATGTGCTGGCAAAACTATAAAACAGCAGGCTTCCGGGGCTTGGCTTGCTCCTTTGTCATTTTAAATGGATTATCTTGATGCTATGCCTAACTGCATGTCCTCACCGTTGTACAAGATTTGGAAGGATCCGTTGATCGGGACCTCGAGGCGGTGATCCAGGTAGGCTTGATCTGTCTTTCTTTACAGAGCACGCAATTGATTGACAGCACAAGGCGAAAAAATTGTCAGGTTGTCGAGATAGATGAATCCAGCCACAGATGATCGAGTTGTAATGCATGTATTGGTCTTGCCATGATACAACGCAGTGTTGATAATTTGTCCAAGCTTTTGCAGTTTGCTCTTGCCATCACACATCATACTTGTATCAAGGAGTCTTCTTGTCCAACCCAAAAAAGAGTTGTTTTCCATCGTCCGAGAGCCCAGTTGGCCCTCCCACCCCGCCCGCCTCGAATACGATTGGTACCGGTACGCTCCATGGTTTCTTGGATTGTGGATTGTGGTGGATGTTGTCGGAATTATTTGTCTCATCAATATTTTGTACCCCCGAACGGGAATGGTTATTGTTGTCGTTGTATCCCCAGGCAAAAACAGACTTGGGTGCAACACGCTGGGCCATGAGTTTGGCATATTCCATTTTCTTGTGTAGCAACTGAAACGCCAAGTAATCATCAACTGGATCCTCTCCTTCCTCCGTGTCATGATGGTTATTTTCGTTGCTGTTTTGGTCGTTGTTTTGGGTCTTGTGGTTGGCTTGCAAGGCTTTGGCTCTCCATCCATACTCAATGTGTCCCGCTCGAATGTACTTGGCCCCCATGTGCACACTGATCATGACGGCCACATATGCCATCAGAGTGATAATGATTCCATGCACATATCCAAACACGGCCGATGTATCAGCAAAGATGCCCCATCCAAAAAAGTGTGTCATGGCAAAGAGCATGTATAGCATTTCATTGAATGCATTACCGGCCATTTGAATGCGAAGTCGATCACTGTCCCGGGCAGCTCTGGCAACGGCACTGGTGTAGACGCGTCCATACATGATGATCATCATTCCCAAAATGGACATGATGCTCCATCCGTAGAGATGAATGAGGGCTAGCCAGTTCATGGTTGATACTTTTGCAAATGGGTCGGAAGTTCGATATTGAATAAAATCGGGAGGATTCCAGGCCATGGGTACGGAAAAAGTCATGAGCAAGGCAGCCACCACGGAAGTCTCCAAGACTCCATCAAAGTTTTCTTTGGATTGCTCTGATATCCCGTTGATCACAGATAAGGTAACATCGTTGACGTCTACTCGCGTTGTGGCACTCTTGTTGTTAGTGTCATTGTTAGTGTCATTGGTACAGTGCAACTGTTCCAGAATGTGAGCTTGCAAGGTATGCATTCCGGACACTCGTCTCCAAGTCTTCAACTCCTTCTCCATGGCTCGAATCTCTTGATCCAGTTCCAACAACACGTGATCCTCCGAAGAAGAAGAAGATCTCGTACTTGCGGCGATTTCGGGATCCCCTAATAATTGAATATCTATAGAAGGATCGCTCAGTTGTCTTGACTTTTTGTTCTGTTTTTCTCGCAGTCTCCTCGGGCTTCCTCCTCCCACAGATAGACCGACTTCTTCATCATACTCGGCATAATCCACGTCCGTCAAACTATTGTGACCACGGGAAGCATTCAATGAACGACGCATCCTACAATTATTATATTACACACAACACAGCCAATTGAGATGGAGCCATCCGAGTTGGTATCATTTGTGTTGTGATGAGAGAGGAAGTCTACATGTATGGTCATATGGTACGTGTAGCTTGAGGACGATGGAAGGGTCTTTCGACTATGCCATACCAGTACAGAAGTTTCGTTCTGATCGTCGCACTTTGAGGTCAGTCAGTTAGAGTGCGTTTTGCTTGGATTTGCCATGGACTTATCAGACTCGACTCTGCCGCGTCACTGGACCCATGACTCGGCTGCACTCGACTTATTGATGCTACGCTGTATTGCCACCGTACCGGTACCGGTAGCGGTACAAGTACACACGTACGTCGCCGTACCGTACAGTACATGTACAGTACTGCATTCAACACATTTTTAGCCTTGGGTGACGTCAGGATTACGACGGCTGGATTCGATTGATTCGATTCGATTCGAGTGAATCATCAGGCTGTTTCAAGGACATTGAGAAGGTTTGACCTCATGTACAGTACTACTGTACATATTATAGTATCTTTATCTTCCGGAGTTTTGCCTGACATCTCAGAAGCCAGAAGCCTCCCAAGAGACATTCCGAGGTCATAATGAGAATTCCAGATGCATTTGCAGACTTGCAGCGCTAGCTAGCTTGCAGCAAATCAAATGGATTACTGTACATGTAGTACAGTCGTAAAGGAAAGTTGAGAAAGGCAACTGCCAATGGAATCATGGGATAGGCTCTTCGGCTCTTCCAGAACAGCAGCTGAAGATCAATCTAAGTGAAGTAACAGTGTTAATGAAATCTGGCCCTCTGGCTTCCTTCTGGAGAATGCAGACATGCAGACATCGCGATTGAGTTACGTGGCGTCCAATGAAATAACTCTTTTGAGGCTCTTCTTCCTGCACTTCAAGCATGCGTAAGTTTTGTGTGTGCTGATAGTGCAGACACATGCTTGACGTCATCTACCGTTTGGTAGTCGTATAACGGTAAAAGGAGGAGCCATGCGTTTCATTGCAGAATTTGAATGAACTGATCGTACCGGTTTTGGCGACTGCCTGCGCAAAACCGACGTGTTCTTGAAAGATCCACTTGCTCGGGGTTCTCTGTTGTCAATGTTCCAGTGCACTTGTATGCCGAGTATCCCAAGCTTCTCGCTCGACTTCTCAGTGGGCAGTCCGCACTGATCTGGCAAACGCTTGCTGTTCTTGTCGAGTCGCGCCATTGGATTGGCTTCTTCTCTCCTACTACTAGGCTTTCCTTGCTTTGGCTCCATACATCTCTAAATTTGCGTTCGGCTAGTTGTGTTGCATTATCTAAGCTAGCGTCTGTATATATACATACATTATTTGTTTGGAAGGAAGGAAGATGACAATGTGGCGATTTCTGCAAGCCGAGTCCAGTGATGCCGAAGAGTACACAAGCTCTGGGCAATTTGACCCCGCCGTCTTCTGGGGTGTGATTGCGTTTATCGTGACGCTCTTGACATGTGCCTGTGTCTGGTGTTGTTGGTTTGGGGGCAAGGACAGTTTCGTGTATTGGGTCTCGGGAGAAGGACGAGTTGCCTCCGATTTGGAATACCAATCGACCTTGCGACAACGACATGAACGCCGCATGGCAGCACGAAGAAGTACTCCCACGAAGCGCACCTTTCGCCTTAAGAGAAGCTTTGTGCGCAATAAGGTGCAAATGGTAAGAGGCAGTGGCTGGGTTGTTATCATTATCTATGGGTATATCTCTTCTTGGGTATCTCGTTATCTAATATTATCTTGCTGCTCGCCATTAAAATGTTTGTCCAGGTGGTTCAAGACGGCGATATCGTGCAAGGGGATGACATGGATATTACAGCTGTCAGCTCTAGTAGCTCCAGTGAGGAACCCATGATGGCGTCGCCTCCTGACGTGGAGAGTGGATTGGCCACTTCGGATGATGCTCCAGTAGCGGGAGAGGATGCTACCCCTTCCAAGGACCAAAGCGACGAGGACACGGTGGCAACCGACCAAGATGGCCACGAGGATGCAATTGCATCGGAGGAAACAGCCACCGAGGAAGCAAACCTGCAAGCCATGGAAGAAGGACAACCTGAAGAGTCTGCTGCCAATCCAGAGGAAGAAACCATTACTACAGGCATGGCGCAGGTCGACACTGGCGTGGCCACCACCATTACGATGGATGGAGGACCGGACTTGGCCGAACACGGATATTTGGTGCTTCGACCTGGCAACTGCAAACATCCACCCCAACACAATGCCCGCATGGTACCCAACTGCTGTGCCATTTGTCTCTGCGATTACGAAAAAGGAGACACGGTCGTATGGTCCTGTCACAAGGAATGCAAACACGCCTTTCATCAAGAATGCATCCTCGAATGGCTACTCAAAATTCAAGACGGCGGAACACCCTGTCCTTGCTGTCGACAAGAATTCACTGACTGGGAAACCATGAGACAAGAACGCAAGATCAAGTGGGCTGCCGGACATACCTTTAATGCCTCCTCGGTGCGATTCACCTAGTCATCTATCCAGTCAAGAATCGAATCACAACCGAAACAGATATATAGGACGCCAACAGAACAGCAAGTTCTTGGCGAATCCTCTCCCGACTGACGACATTTTGTCAGCAACACGACAAACTACTTGCTGTGAGAACTTGTTCGGGGGGATTGGGATTCACCGCCGCTGGTCAAGACCCGTACGCGATGCCTCCAACCAGGGCATGCCGATTCCAATCACTTCCATTCACACGACAATCGCGCTTCCCAACCAACCCTTCTGACAACCGCTGCATTTCTACACTTTCTTTGGATCCATACGCATTTGTTCAGTTTCACCTCCACAACATATGCATACATCTATCTGCACAGGCAACCATAACTAAGTCATAGTGTAATAATGCATCTGACATTCAACACCCTCTTTATCTTGTCCCCCCCTCCCCGTGTTACAGAAAGGCGGAAGACGAGAATTCTGGCCAGCATTCTGAAAAGTTTGGCTTTCTAAACCCCGTCGTGCCAGTGACATGAAAACACGAGAAGCTAGCATGTTTGAATGCAATTGGTAAGGCGGGATGTTGCAGGAATTCGTGTGGCATTGGTTCTCGATGGCCCAGCTGCGAAAAGCTCGGAACAACATCCTTAAGGCTTCCCTGCTGTTGGGTCGGCTGGATCCTCGATGCGGTGGAAGCAACAACCCGTAACTAAACGTGAAAAGTACGGTCCTTGAGATGATCCGTTCCGAAGCCGTGAAGACGTCCTCCTACGGCTCTGACTTGAGGAATGACTGTGGGGTCCGGCTCGCTACGTGTAGACAAGTGCGTCGAACATTCATGTATCATTTTAGACTCCACTCGTCACTTGACTCTACCGGTAGTGGAGGGTCGAGTCGAGTCGAGTGACAGTCGGGTACCGTAGAGGCTGGATAGAAGCATCAACACCACCCTCAACGCTAAAGCACGGATTGCAGATGATTCCTTCGGTAGCCATCATGGCATTGGGACGTCTTCCCACAGTTGCTCTTGTCTGCTTGGCTCCCATAGCAGCTAACTAGCTACAGGAGGAAAGAAGAATCGAATGATTTCAATCGTCAAAATAACAAGCTTTCAACTCGTCGAGTGCCAGTTAACGGTGTGGCTCTTCGCTCTTTCACCCGCTACACGGGCATACAATTGGAGGTCTGGAGCTCATGGTGAATTGTACTCATTATTTACCGACTGCATAACTTCCGTAGCAAGTTAGCGAGTACAACAGCACTGCAATGTGGATCCTTTGGCAACACGAGAAGATCCTTCCATCAAGAACGAGAAATTGCTGCTTTCTTCCATGACAACCTTTGCTTGGCCAAGCCAGCTAGAAGCTTGGGCCGTTCGGCCAATTGCTGTTACCCCAACCGCTGTTTTCTCCTGGCCGCTGGAATGGTTCACTGGTACCACCTAATCCACTGCTGCGTTTGGGCCCTCCTTTCTTCCGTGTATTACCACTGCCAGTCGTTCCATCCATAGGACTGCTTGTCCCGCCGAGGGGAGTTAGGGGAGCGTAAGGGTCAACAGCATTCAAGGGGGTTCCCCTCAATGTGTTTGCATCCTGAGGCTGAATGCTCTGTGGTGGCCCCCCTTGCCGGGCTTGTTCAGGTTGATATCCAGTGCCATCAATGGGCTTCCTGTAGGTTTGTCCTGGTCCACCGCCTCCCGAGCCCGTGTCGAGCCCTTCTCGTGGAATGTACCCTTGTCCTGCCGTCGCACGCCCACCCAAGTCACGTCCGGGTATGCTATTGGCTCCTCCACCATTTCTCATATAGTCGCCCTGATCTTGCATGGGTACAAATCCTTCTCCTGTTGGTTGATCCAGAGGACGATCTTGATATCCCCCTGGAGGACTTTGCTGCAATGGATTATTTCTTCCTCCAGGCGGGGGCATCATTCGTCCTTGTTCTTGTCCCATGCCCTGCTGTTGCGGCATTCCCTGGTCTTGTCTCATGCCCTGCTGTTGTGGCATTCCCTGGTCTTGTCTCATGCCCTGCTGTTGCGGCATTCCCTGATCTTGTCTCATGCCCTGCTGTTGCGGCATTCCCTGGTCTTGTCTCATGCCCTGCTGTTGTGGCATTCCTTGTTGCATATTCTGCTGCTGCGGCATCCCAAATTCTTGTGGCTGATTGGGTCGGGCCTGTGGTGGGGCGTCTTTGCGAGCTTGGACCGGAGGTCGTTCCCGTTGGGGCAAGTTTCCTCGTGCCATTATGCCTCCATCAATTTGCCATACTGTTCCCGTAATCCAATCGTTGGTGATCAAGGGCATAGTTGCCTGCGCCACTTCTTGTACCGAGCCGACCTTGTCTACGAGCATTTTATCGGTCCAATCTTTGAGATTTCTTGGATTCCGAAAATACTCGGCGGTTCGCTCGACTTCGACAGGTCCCGGAGCAATGGCATTGACACGAATATTATGCTCGGCATACTCCATGGCCATGGATTTGGTGAGCATATCCAATCCAGCCTTACTAACCGCATATGCGGACATGTATTCATTCGATTTTTCTCCGTGAATGGAACTGACATTGATAATGACACCACCACCACGTTGTTTCATTCCCTTGATGGCCATGTGACTGAGTAGACGAGGTGCATTCAAATTGATATTGAGGGTATCACGCCATTCCGTTACGTAATCGTCATCATCTTCCATGGCCAATTTGGCCACTACCCCGGCATTATTGACTAGAACATCGATCCCTTCGGGCCAAATGCCGTGGATTTGCTGGAATAGAGAATGAATATGTGCGGGATGGGAAAAGTCGCACTGGGATATTCCCGGACAGACGCCGTTGCGTTCTTCAATGAGCCGTGCCGTTTCACGAGCCCCATCTTGACGTTGGTTGTAGTGGACCAAGACGTGAGCTCCTGCTTGTGCCAACTCTAAGGCAATCCCTCGACCAATTCCTCCACTGGATCCGGTCACCAATACTCGTTTGTTTTGAAGATTGTACGCAGCAGCTGTGGCTATTAATGACAAAAGAAGTAGCACTTGTGAAGCCAACAAGAAGGGGTATCCTCGGTGTGGTGTTGCTAACGACCTCATGCTGATGCTTTGTGCTTGTAGAAAGTAGTAAGGAGAAGGCCACTGACGTATACCGGTAGATGTCGATACCCTCTTGCGTTGCCACCAACCTTTTAGGGGATAATGATTTATCAACTAACTTTGTTATCTGATAATGGAACTGCTAAGCTCGGTCTCAACGGTATCTTGGTTGTCAACTCGTAACGAGCTGCTACCGTGACAGTTGTGGGAAGGATACAGATATCGTGGATCCTCGAATGGAATGGAATCTTTGGTTGGCCACAACGCCACAACAACCAAAAGGATTTGATTTGGTGTGTCAAAGAAAACGAGAACAACAAAAGTGAGCTAAAAGTGCGTCAGTATCGAGGTAGCGCTCCCACCGCCGGCAGGATTTTGAAATGGCTGGCCTAATCACAGAACGACGGCTGGCTCGCGTCAACTCCTCGCTGAAATTCCTTCATTTTTCTCTCGCTATCTTGCTTGCTCATTTATCGCTTGTGGCTGGGTGGGGTAGCTAGCGCAAAACAGTTTCGAAAGTAATAATGCGAAAGAGAGAAGTCTCGTGGATCTCATCACTTCAATTACATTACTGCAAAAACAACCATGGTGGTCGTCAAACGAAGGACACGATCACGAGTGGAGCAGACTCTGGATAGCATCGGTTTCTCGTCTCCCGCACAGGTGCCCTACGGCGACGGAGGATCCCCGCGATTCCTGGGTGGTGGAAATAGCTCCAGATGGACTCCAGGACGACGATTCTCCTTTGAGCTCAACACTTCCAAGCAATCGTACAAGTGGCTCATTCGATTCATGTGCATGGTAGCATGCGTGTCGATGATCGGAGCCTACAAAGCTAGCCATGCCGCCAAGAACATTGCAGCCAACCTCGAAGGTCAACAAATTGCACTCAAGATTCAAGGCGACGAAACATTTGCCACTCTCAAGGATGCACGAGAGGGTCTCAAGGCTGTGCGGAAATACGTGGATGGACTCAAACGGACGCAGGATGCCCTATACCATGAAATCCGCATGGTCAATGAAATGTTCGAGGCTGAATCCGCCTCCGACATGCCAGATTCCCCCATGAGAGGATCCTCCGATGAGTTGGTACAGTCATGGATGCAACATCGTCAAGATGCGCTCACATACAAGATCAATAATCTCAAGGATTTTATTCAACAAGAAAGTCGACAGCAGGTCATTGAAAAGTAAGTCAGTCATTCAATCTTCATTCTCGTCTTCGTTGCTATGGTTCGCTATGGGACGCACCTCTGGCGAGGGGGAGACTTCATTGGCCAATGCGCTTTTGCTCACTTTTTCATTTTTATTTATTTCTCTCTCTACTCAGATACGGATCAGGACCGATTCGAGCCAAGTTCACCATCAACTTCATGAAGCATGACCTCGAACGAACCTTTGTGATTGAAATGGCACCACTCACGCTGATGCCGCATTCAGTGCACATGTTCCTGGAAATGGTCAGGATGGGAATGTGGACCAACACGGTTTTCTGGCATCATGATGATGTCGAGCACATCATTGCTGGAGCACTCTTCAACTATAGAACGGGAGAACCAAAATTCCATCACTTGAAAGCTCTGGGGTGGGAAGGACTGCACTTTCCCGAATACTCGGAAGAGTACCCACACGACAAGTATACTATTGGATTCTCGGGCAAGGGACCTAACATTTACATCAATCTGCGAGACAACCAAGATGTTCATGGTCCCGGAGCACAATCTCACCACGACTTGCCAGACGAAGCCGATCCGTGCTTTGCTCGGATAGTCGAAGGTGTAGATGTGGTTGATGCCATGTATCGGCTGAGTCTACAGGACGAGAAGAAGTCCAAAGATTTCCGAGAGACAACTTGGGATCAAAACGAACTCACACGAATTGTCAAGGTCGAGCTCGTATGACGATCCGTGGCAAGCTATCAGCCTGGTTGAACCGGCTACCCATCTCATTTGCTCACGATCTCACAATACAATTCCAATACAGTTTTTCATACACTACCGCCACAACCAGCACAGTAATGGTTTACACTCTTTTGGAGGACTTGAAGCGTCCATGCAATACTTTACCGTTCGGGGCAAGATGTCTGGTATCTAGATATATGCATATGTACAATTTCTCTCTATCATCTATTATGGCACACTCGGCTGGGGTGTCAGCAGCAGAAGCAATAAAGAGAGCCTATTGAAACCAATAAGCTCCCAAGAACTATTAAAAGACTATACTTCCAATTCAATCACTTTTGTTCTATGTTGTTCGTTAGCCAATGGTGATGACACACCATGGTCTCGTAGAAACCCCATCAGATCGGGCTTCGTTGTCCTGGGAAGATTCATGCGCCGGTTGAGAGATAGCAACTCCATCAGATCGGGCTTCGTTGTCCTGGGAAGATTCATGCGCCGGTTGAGAGATAGCAACTGTCTTGGCTGGACTCTAGCCGACGGTAGCTTACCGATTGCAATGCAGGATACCCAATCCTCCGATCAGTTCTTGGTTACGTTCTTGGTTGTCATTGGGGCTTTCTAGCCTCTACCGGTAGAGCATTAATCGATCTCTGGCCCATCCAACTTGCTTCTCTGGCTGGTCGGCTGCCCCTTTGAACTCTAACCAGACGTTCTTCACACGTGCCGAAACCTTCGGTTGTGTGGATTGGTGGAGGTATTGAACGCCTTGTCAAAAACCGTGTCATGCCCAAGCACAAAGATAAAACAGCAAGAATGTACAAACCACTTGTAAGCAGAATAATCCAACTTCAGCAAACTGTGAGCAATGGGCAATCTGCAGACCAAAGCCAACCGCAAACAGTCAAGGACAGCACAACAATGGGCCAAATGAAGGTTATCTTCCTGGATCCAAAGCAGCCAACAACCCTACACAAGGTGGTCCTAATGTACCAAGGCTCTCCTCCAGGATCGCGAGCAGCTGGCAACCCCCACACAAGGTGATAAAATGTGAGGTTATCGCATCGGCCACGGAGCCGGCAGCCCTGTGCAAGGTGGTCCTACGAAGGCCTTCCTGCTTGACCAACGTAGCAACCCAATGCAAGGCCGTTGCGGAAGCTTCAACCCTAGTTCAAGGGCTGCAATGGCGCAATGGCGGAAACAACAGCGGACACCTCCGAGGTCGTGAAAGAGATCATGCAACAACTGATTGCATTCCTGCTGGGTCAAACCCCATCATGTGGAGTCTTTCGACAAGGTATTTTCTGCAGAACGGATGTGCGTTGCCAAGTGAGGGGCGGAAATGGGCTTGATAATCCAAGACTAATAACGAGCAAAAACGAGTGCTTACATGTGCCTCTTGGCATGTCATGTACCGGTTCCGTACAACTAACTGATATCTTTTGGTGAGGACACAATGGTGACGAAAGGTGAAGGTGAGTCTTGCACCACATAAGCGTGAGGGACACATTGAATTAGAGGATCCCGTAAAAGCGATAAGCGATCACTGTGTGCAATCTTATTTACAGACGAAACATCCATGATATCGTACCAAAGCAGGCTTTGGAATCTTTCAAAAATGGTACGGCAAAATTGTACTGAGGTTAACCCACGGTATCTTCGGCGGAAGACAGGAAAATTTGGATGTCTATGATGCATATGCTACTGTTTGACTATAGATTAATGCCTGGCAAGATGCTTTTCCTACCTAGTTTGGTCGGGACCTTGAGTGGGATGCCAGTGGGAGGGAGTGATGGAAGGATCTGTTGTGGTATCAATCTCCTCTCCGTTGCTTCGGCCCCACAAATCACAAATAAAGCAAAGCAAAGCAACTCAACTATCCCCATCTTTTCGCTGGAAAAACTAAAACAAGACCATGAAGCTCTCTTCGAACATCTTCCTTCTTTCTCTTGCTGCTGCCCCGGTGGCAGCTCGCATTGGCAGCAGCACCAACAATGGCCCCTTTCAGCTTCAGCGCACTCACAGAGCCCTCGGTGCCCCTGCCCCTGCCCCGTACCTTGCCCTTGGTATGATTTGCGATCCTAATTACATCGAAACTCCCCAGTGTGACCCTAATCTACTATATTGCCACGAATCCACCTCAACCTGCAAGCATGTCGATGCCGTCGAAGCGGGTGGATCTTGCAGTGACTCCACTTGTTTGTCGCATCTTACCTGCAATGAACAATTCCTTTGTGAAGAAATGGTCGAGGGAAATGAGACCGGCGTTCTTGCTGCCGGCATCAATGAGCATTGTGATGCCAGCACAACCTGTGAAGAAGGCCTCGATTGTGATGATGCCACTTCGACTTGTGTCGTGCCGGGCACGTCAGGCACCAACTGTGCGGCCGCAATGGCCGAATGCAGTGAAACGATGCCCTGCTGTGATGGCCCTTGTATTGGAGAATGTCCTGAAGGTGGTTGCGGGCCATTCATGGATGGAATTTGTCGCACTGGTTAAAGAACCAGCTCAAGGAACTGTAGGAGGAGCCAACAGAATACGAAAGAGACAACGGCGAAGACGAACACCAAAGAAGATAAGAATGAGATACGAATTTAGCAAAAAGTGATAACCTATAAAACATACTTCTCTTCCCAGCGCTAGCACTCGCAATTGCAATGCGTTCCCGAGAGCAACCCGGAGAGGTGCATTTCACTGTCTTATATGCTTGCTGGTGCATTGAAGGCAAGGCCTGTTGCTGCATAAAAACGACACGACCATGGAGGCGAAGTTCTGGCCGCATCCCAAGGCAAGCTCTGCCGTCAGCATCTTCAACAATGCCTGCTTCCTCCTTGAGCACTGTCGAGAAGTTTGAGTTCAACGTGGTGACTTCCACAAAGCCGTTCAACTTTCCAAAGTTCTCCTTCTACCGGTATGCAGCTTCAATTGTTTTGCATGTGATTTCGAGCTTTCGCAAGAAAAAAGCTGCCTTTGTGCAGGAAGGACGGTTTCATCGGTTCGTGTGCGTATGCGGGGTTATTCCAAGTATGCATACATGTATCGAACTGCAGTGCCATCTGATGAATGCTGAGTGCGAAACGCAATCGACGATGCCCTTCTGTATCATCAGACGATCGAAGGGCGTTCCTTCTGTATGGAAAACCTCGACCAGTAATCCGAAGTCTTGAGGAAGGCTCTATGGGAGTAACCATGCTGCCACCCCAACAGCCCAAAGAAGGCAAAGCATGGCACAGTGCCTATCAATGTTTGTCGTGTTGATGACTAAGCTTGAGGCCTTCCTCTCCTGTTGGATGGGAGATGGCAGGGGAAAGAAAGAAAATCAGTTTCCTTGCATCTCTCTCTCTCTTTTTGGGGTTCCAAATATAGATGTCAGTGATGCACTTTCCGGCAAAGCCGTAGCACCGCAGTGCTACGCATCAAAGGCTCTCTCGCTGGGTACGTTTACATCGACTTCCTCCTCCTCCTCGGTATCCCGAAAGAGAGAATCTTTTGCTGCAAGGTAACCACGCCTTGAGTCGGTCGTCGACGGAGGAGATCCATCCACTGGAATAGCATCAACAACTGGAATGTTAGCATTGGCAGTTTGACCGTTGCCACTGCGCAAACCTTTGGATCGATCACTGATGCGACGTTTGTCATCGAGTACGCTAGAAGAATTCGGTTCTTCAGCATCTTCCAAGGTTGCTGTGGCGAGAACTGGTCTCTCTGGTCGCTGTCTAAGTGATCTGTCTGCAATTCTTTGCTTGCCATCTAATGCGGAAGCGGAAGGAGGGTCAGCTGCCGTTTCGCGCGAGTCTGACGAGGGCTGGGCTGTTGTATTGTTGGCAACCTCTGCACGAGTGTCCTCCGCCAATGGTAGTTGGTCACGATCCCCCCCTTTCTCGGGCTTCTGACTTCTTGCCTTTGTGTAGAACACGATCAGACCAAATACCATGGCAAGAACAGCGACTACTGTGACAACTACCACAATGACAATGACAGTATTTTCCCCGCCATTGGCTGGCTGTGTCGGTGACACCGTCGGTTGCATCGACGGAGGGATACTTGAATCATCCGGCAAAAATACATCTGAAACATATCCGACACTGCCAAGGCCTCCGCCAGACTTCTTGAGAAGCGACACAAACTCTTCCTTGGCCTCAGGATTGTTGAATGGCTCGACCAGCAAGTAGTTCATGTCAAGGTTGGGGTTGTCGCTTCTATAGGACAAGGATTGTATGTATTCCAACGAGACAGTATCCTGGAGCTGGCGGCGGCGAATTGGCACAACATCCTCTGGATTGGTTACTCGAAACTCGGAAAAATAATCTACGACCTCGACGTGAGAAGTCAAGTTGAAGAAGGAATTTGCATGAAGTGCCGCAAGTTGTTCCCAATTGCGGACATCTTCCAGGTTGAGACTGGAGACACCAAAGAGTGTCATGCCAAGGCCAGCAACACTCGTTTCAACAAGATCAGGGCCTTCGTTGGCTCGACTAGACTCTTCGAGAGTCGGTGACTGTGTTGCTGTTTCTTTGTTGATTGAAGCCATCGGTATTTGCGGGGGCTGGGTTGGTACGATACTCGTTGTCAATTGTGTTGGACTGTCCGTGGCAACCAATTCATTGGGCGTCATTGCACTTGAGGATTGGCTAGGAACTTGAGATGATGGAGCTGGTGTTGGCATTTGAGTTGTCGTGGATGCAGTTGGGGCTTCCGATGTGACGCTTGTTGGTGATTGACTTGGACCTCCAGTTGAAGGAGCTGATGTTGGCATTGGAGTTGTCGGGGATGCAGTCGGGTCTTCCGTTATGACCCTTGTTGGGGATTGGCTAGGAACTTGAGTTGAAGGAGCTGGTGTTGGCATTTGAGTTGTCGTGGATGCAGTTGGGCCTTCCGATGTGACACTTGTTGGTGATTGACTCGCTTCCGTGGATGGCGGTGCAGATGGGATGGTAACTATCACGGTACTTCCATCACTCGATACATCCGCCAATCCACCACCATTGTAGACAATGTCTGTGGTTGAACTTCCCGCAATTCCCGGATACTCCTCTTCAATGTCATGGTTCAGACCGGCATCGGCAGCACTCTGAACACAATTTCCCTGATCCACGTTGCAAAATAAGCTGTAGCAATCGGATGGCTCATCACAAGGTTCTCCCAACCACTTGGGTTCAGTACACCTGCGTTCAGATTCGGTACCTAATGGAATCATATATTTGTGAAGGAGGCGAGGTGAGAAATTTCTCTGGTCCATCTCCCGCAAGCACCTGGACGGAATGACGAGCCAAGATGATACTTTACCTTCACAACGAAGAGACAAGCAATCACTATTGTCGCTACAAACTTCTCCCGCCCATTTGCGATCATAGCACTGGTTCAATCCTTGGTCTGTTTTGCAGCGTCCGCCAAAACAATCGTTATCTTCGCCACAAATAGCTCCATCGAAGATGGTGAAGGTGCATTTCAAGGGATTTCGAGTGCACCTTCCAGTTCTACATTCGTAATCAGCTGTACAATCCGCGTCTCGATCCTTCCAACCAAGGCAAGTACTGGATTCTCCACAATACCCTTCTTCGCAGTCTTCATGGACGGCACAAGGACCTCCTACTGGCTGTTGCATCTGGCATACCCCTCCACTGCAACGCCCCGACACACAGGCATCATGTACTCTACAGGGCTGTCCCACGTCCTTTCGGGGATTACACTGAAGAGTGCTGTTGCAGAACCCTGATTGATTGATTCATAAAAAGATTGCGGGTTGATCAATGAGCTGATAATGCTGGTGGTTGTTCATCCCTTGTATCGCAGTAGTCTACTCATTCCTATCCGTACGGAACCGGTAGAAAACTCACCTGATGCACACTGAAAGGTAGCTCGACAGGGAAATCCGGTCGGTCGGTAGGCGTGTGCTGGAGAGAAGAGACATATCAAAGATAAAGGAAAGAGAACCACGTTCATCAATTTGGCTGATCTTCTCGAGCTACCACCGGTACATGTATCGGTACAATGGTTTGCCATGGTCGCCCATCAAGAGAATGCGTGGGGGTTCGCAGACACAACATCGCTGCTTCCTCCTCAGTCTTGCCTCTAAGCCTGCCCCCCTCGCCTCCCTTTAGATATCTTCGGAACCCCCCATTGGTAGCTACCGTGCAATAGTAGTACCGGTACCAGGCACTGCATGTGAAGCCAGGTTCCTGTCTCTGCTAGCTAGTAGATGTATCTAAAATGCTAACTCTAAATTTATCATTCTTCCAGGATCTTGGATCTTTTTTGTATCACTTTGGAAAGTGGCCATCGATGACAGCTACCCATGCATAGCGGTATTACACAACACATGGCGTCTCCTCACACCCCGTACTACCGACATGAGCGAGCAGAATAACAACAACAGCAATACCAGCAACAATGGCCCACAGGCTAGTAGTAGTACTCCAGAGAGACGCCCCATGTCCTTACAGGAACAGGCCGTCCATTTTGCCGACCGCGTACGAACCCACCTTCAAGATTATCCCCACAAGATCCGTGTCGATCCAGCGGTGCCTCCAGGCTTTATGGAAGGTGCCGTCGTGGGCATGACATCGTATCTGGCGCTATGGCCCGGCAAGAGACGAGCTGTGCGATTGTTTGCTGGTGGGAGCCCCAAGATGGTGGGTGCCTTGTTGACGGCAGGGCAAGTAGTAGTGGGGGTGCAGTTGGCACTGTACACTGCCGTGATGCAGGGATCCTATACGTGGTTATCGACGCTCAAGGAGTATGCGTCAGTAGTGGAGCCTAGTACTGGCAAGGTTGATGGGGATGATGATAAGAACAGCAAAAACTTTATCAATCTACACAAATCCATCATGGCAAATTCGTTGTGTCAAGATCCGATTTTGGAATCCCTGAAACAGCAACAACTCCCCAACACGATATCATCCAAAGAAGATACGGATACGGATCGCCATTCTCCCACCGTCATGGATTGGATACAAGGCCCGGGAAAGGTTGTCACGGACGAGCTCATGCAAGTAGTTGCTGCTTGTGCCAATCGACAAAGACGTGATGCTGCGAAAAAGGACGCTGGTGGGAAAAGCTAAAGTTTGTGTGATGTTGGCACCCTTTTGGATTTCTAATGGTCTAGCTAGTTTTGATGAAGTCTATTGTTTTTTCTGTATGTTGGGGGTGCTCGCATCAACATGGGCAAACAAGGCAAGGGAGGAAAGCGAGGAGAGAAAGATTTTCATGGAGAGGATCCGTGGCACGAACCACCGCCTTGGTCACGGCAATGGGGAGGCTGCATCACAAGATCAGGCTTGAATTCCATTTTGTAAACCAGCACTCTCAGTACAGTAATCAATCTGCACTGTAGAGTCATGTAAATGAATGGGTGGCCTTGCATGTAGACCGGAGCACCCATCCCAAAGCATCAATGGAGAGTTTATTGTTGACTTGATGTCCCAAGAATGAGTAGATTTGATGTTTGAAATCAGTCGACACGTCAATAAAGTAGTAGAGTAGATGCCACTAGTTGCACTGGAAGAACTCTTCGCGTGATTGGCTTCGGGTCGTTGGCGTCAGGTCGCTCCGTGGAAGCTATATCGACCGAAAGCTGAAAGAAGCCATCGATCCGTACGGTAGAAGATCCGCACAAGTAAGTATTGCGTCGACTCGTCGATCGACAGGCATAAACACCATTGTCGGTATCGATAGTAGCAGCTGATAAAAGTAGAGGCGTCATGGTCGCTCCGTGAACGAGGCATCAAAACGTGGAGCACTCCGTGGGCCGGAAAAAGTGATCGATCCATGCGTTTTGCTGCTGATTCCAGACTAACCAAACAAGAGGAGCTTGTCAAGGGAGTATAGTCGCTGTAAAGAGGAGACAACATCATCTTGATACGCTTTATCATAGAACGAGCAGAGGATCCGAGGTTCTAGAACGAGCAGAGGATCGGAGGGGTGGGAGTCTTTTGAGCCACGCTAAATGCTTTAAGTCTTTTAAAAAACCTACGTAATTCTTTTAGCCCCGATGTCGTACGGTATTTTTAAAAATACTAGCTATTAATAGTAGTTCGCATTCATAATGTCCTTCGGGACCGGGCTTGCGTTTGCGTAAATAGATTGATTTCGAACCGGATCTCCGCAGCTCGTCCGCAGCTCCTTCATCAGCACACCACGCGGCAGAAGACCAACACGATGGGCCACCAAGCAATCAAGCAAACCACACCCCAGCGTCTAGCTATCATCCAGACTACTCTGAGAGGTCCAGGAAGTGTGTTGTTGGGCAGTATAGAGCATGAAATCAGTGCTCATCAGTGGCTCTGTCTCATCTCGTCACCTGTTGTTTTCCATCTGGCAGAATCTGTCATCTGAAAATTTGGGTGGAAAAATGGGATGTCACCATGATGAGCTCACTTTTTTGTTCAACCGGATTGCTAGAGTTGCATACCCAACCGAACAAGGAAGATTTGCGATTGTTGATAAGCCTAGGCCAGATCAACCCCCCTTACTTTCAATTACCTTTCTATCAATCTTCTATTCAATACCTATCAATTGCAATATGAAGTTCTCTTCTTCTATCATCAAGCTGCTCTCGTGGTCATGGACCACCACCAACAACAACAGCAACATCAAGAAGACCCCCGTTCTCCAGGTCGCCAAGGAGATGACGGGCAACAACAACAAAAAGGATGTTCCTGTGACAGAGGAAGTCCCAACGTTCCAACTGGATGAGTTGGACAAGTCGGTCGTTGAGACCGCGGCACAGTTGCACGGAACGCATCCTGATTTGGAGTGCCAGCAGCATGGTCGCTACCTAGGTGCCTACGACCTTTCCCTGGTTCCTGCGGATCAGCATGGTCACTACGGATACGACAAATACAACCAGCACCGGCCCAAAGGCTGTCGCATCCAACCCAGTCAATCAGCCAATGCTCGCTGGAAGACCCATTACAGTCAAGACACCGAACGGAGCAATGGAAACCGTTTATCCTTTGCTCCTGTCAACACTGTACTGGGGTACTCTTCTGGCGAGGGCGAACAAGAAGAAAACCGTCGTGTCTATAGAGACATGAAGAAACATGTGCCACAGGCCCGACACGAATTCTGGCTCGAAGCCCAACAACAATTCATTTCCGTCGGCACACCCACACCCCACGAACGCGTCTTGGATCTCGTGCAGTTGATTCAAGAGTACGGATACCAACAAGTGGCCAAATGGATCACCAACAACAAATGGTTCCAAAGCGACAAAGCGTACCTCAAACAAGCCAAACTGTACATTCAAATTGATGCCGTGCATCAAGACCTCGAGGGACTTGTCAAATTCATCCAGGCGAAGAAAGGAAATGACAAGCAAGTCGCCCACTGGTTCATGGCCAACGAAAAGAACACTTACATGTTCGAACTCGCCATGTGCCACTTGCACCACGGAGGAATTCAGCGCAACGCTGACGACGAAATTTGCACCTTGAATACGCGAGAACAGATTGCCAAGCGACGATTAGTCTATCGCAAGGTCAAGGACGTCTGCATGGAAGATGCAGCACCCGTAGAAGTAGAACAACAACCAACAACAACTAAGGACGTCGAGACAATAGAATCAGTCTCGACCGTCGACGACAACAAGATGGCATCCGATGCCACAATCCCATGCGAAGCAGCGGTGGTTCCCACATGCACAGCAGTGGTCCCATACGTTCAAAAGTGGCATGTGACACAGTTCAAGATCAGTGTGCATGGACAACAACCATTTGTATTGGAGATGCGAATGATGAATGGTGTGCTACTTGGAGTGGTACCCAACGACATTCTCGCAGCCTTGATGAAGGATGATGGAGACCTTGTCAAGGAATTCGTGCGGCGGCACAAGACACTACGATTGGAGGCTGGCGTAACCTCGGACGATACGGATTTCGAATTCGTGACTGGCCAAGTGGAAGCTGAAGAACCACTGGTCGAGGAACAACAACAACAACAACAAGTTGATGCTGAAGAACCACTGGTCGACAACCGAGTCGATGAGGAGGACAATGTGGACACAGCACAATCAACTTTGCGACGATCAAAGAGACGCATGGCGGCGATTGCATCTCAGAGAATCGCAGAACAAATCAAGACGAAGCCACGGCGGGTGGCAGTTCAACAACCTATAATTAAACGTAGACGGGTGGTGGCCACCAAGAAAAAGTCGACAAAGCCAAAGGCGAAGGGCAAGAAGACGACGATGACACCTGTGACGGACACACATCAGCAAACAACAGTTCAGACAACAACAACAAGTCGTTCTGGACGGCAAGTACGAAAGCCTGACCGGTACATTCCAGGTTAGGACAACAACAGGTAAGTGGGGGCGGCAACGACGGATTGCGGGGATTACTAACACACAAATACAATACACAGAGAGCAAGCATCTGGTGGGTTGCAGGGCTATACAACAATTTTGCGGAGATGAATACAGTTGGTTCAATTGAAGGGTCACATACAAGGTAGCCAGGTTTGTGGTTCCTGTGCTAGGCAGCCTCTATTGCAGAGTGCTTGTCCGAACGTCCTCCACGCGACGAAAGTCCAAAGTTAATACCTGTGACACCTGACAACCAACCTCTATCATTGTTGATGCAATGCTACAATCTTAAATACAACCAAACATAAAACAATAACACATAGTAGACAATCTTTACAAACAAAACTCATGGCTTCATTCTTTATAGTACATGTAGTTATAGTGGTACCGGCTCTAGAAGTTCATAGTCATAGTGACATCCATTGTAGGGGGCGGCAGTTTCTACTTGCTTGGAAGCTCCAAAGGAATTGGATCTTCTGAATGCATCTTTGGCTGGCGATGCCTTGTCTGTGTGGGGCTTGATATTGCGACAATTTAACTCTTGATCCTTCTGGTTCCCTTCCTCTGACCTCTTGCTTGGAGTTTCCATTGGCGGGGTCTTCTTTCCCTATTTCGCAGCTGTTGCCCGATCCTTGTCTTTGTCCTCGTCAGCGACTTGTACAACTAACCTTGCGCGTCGACCTCCTCTTGCCAGTGTTCTTGTTGTTTGTGTCGTTTTCCTCTTTACGCTTCGAAGGTTTTTCGTTGCGTTTGGGTGTGTTTCTGTCTTTCTCTTGTCTTTGGTCTGGGTGGTCTCTTTATCACCTGCAGCTTGAAGCACAATGGAGCAACTGGATCTCCTGGTTTTCTCCTCGACTTGAGCTTTTATTCTGCTGTTGGCACTTGATGTACTAGATGGCAACGTTGAGTGCCAAGATGAACTAAGTCTTTCCTTCTTCTCTTGGTTCTCTTGCAGGGGGGCGTCCGTACCAACGGAAGCCAGTTCCAAGGCGGCAGCTCCAGTCTTATACATGTTCTGCTGTTGGGCTTTGTTTAGTCGTACAGGGCCCTGTAGATGGCAAGGTTGAGTGCAGAGGTGAACTAGGTCTTTCTTTCTCTTGTTGCACTGGTTGGGGGGCGTCAGGACCACCGCCAGCCAGTGCCAGGACCATGTTCTTGTTGGCAGCTGGCCACCGGCGACTACAAGATATTTTGCTTGGACCGCCCTCTTCTCCTGATACTGCTTCTGCTTCTTCTTCAGATGTTTCTCCGGCTGTTTCCTCTGCTGTTCCTCTAATGGTTTCCTTTTGCGCAGTATCTCGTGCTTTGGACATGGCTTCAAACACTGCTTCCACGGCGCTTCGAGCACCACTCGATCGTTGGCGGTGTAGCAGGACCCTCACTACTTTGCGGGGCACGGTACTTCTGCGGCTCTGGAGACCCGAGTGGCCAGCAGTGACGGCGTCAAAGAATTAGAAACGCCCGCCACCGTACCGGTACTGCTCATTTGGTTTCGTTTCTTTGCAAGGGCTACCTCGTCTACGGCGCTAAGGACGGCCGCGTCAACCTGTTGGATCGGAATGACTGGCATATCCTTCTTGCAAAGATCCTGTTTGTCACCGGTCCACGGCTTCAACTACTAAACTGGCAACCTTTGGCATCCGTGCTTGACTTCAGGCCCAACCGTAACGACGTGGGAGACCTCCTTGCTCCTTGGGTCGAAATGACTGGCGTATCCTAAGCGAAGATCGCGTTGGCTTGGTGGGGCCTACATGCGCAATGGCATGACCAGCTACATGTACATGTAGGAGGAGACCTTTGGAGCGACAAGTTCCCACCTGTTCTCGAGACTGTTAATTCCATACCGTAACACACCGGTACATTCAGGAAGAAAACGATCATGATGTAGCCATGCAGCCAACCTGGTGGGCCTCCTACCGATACTACCGTACCGATTGAGTCATTCGATTCAGTACGGTACCGAGAGCTTACAGTAGAAGCAAGTGTGCGTCTAGAGAAATGGATCTATCGAGAATCTGGGACCTGTGGCTCATTCCTCTTCAACACACCAGAGCAATGATAAACGTCACCTACAGATGGTAACTAGAGCCACACACGTGCATTGCTCATGTTTTCGCTTGCAAGGCAATCCTTCTGGACCAACGGTGAACCTCACCCGGCCCAGGCCTTCTTTCGAACTGACAACGTTGGGCAACTTCAGATCGAGGTCAAATCCCTCCACAAAGAACGTAGAAACCTGTAGAGGCCACCCGGCCAAGTGCTCCAACTACGAAACTGGCAAACGTGAACCTCTCTACCGGCCCCATCCTAATGCCTACGTGGATGTAGTTTCTGCGATGTTTGATGCTTGCTTGTTTGGTTGCTTGATGCTGTGCACACAAAAAGTTGCTTCTATTCTGGAGCAAACATTTTCTTGATCAGGTTCCTTTTGAGACTCGACCAGAGCAAAGGTACCGTACAGTGAACCATGATGATCCGTCTCACTCTCACTATCAGTACCCTTCTGTGGGCGTTGCAGCTGGCCCATTCCCGTATCATCGTGTCGGTTGACCGTATTCGCATTCTCAAGACGAACAAAGATTGGGAAGGCGACACCGAGGATTGGGATGTGAATAGAGGTACTCTCACTCTCAAGAGTGGAACGTGGAACAAGGGACAAGTTGAATTCAAGAAGTCTGGCGGAAAGAAATGGAGGGTGAAGAACAATAAGAACAAGGATTGCAAACCGAAAAAGAACAAGTCTGATTCAAGCGGATTCTATTCCTGCTACTTTAGGTACGACAACAGCCAGAATAAAGCCAAGTTTTGCGCCATTTGACACTCCCAAGACTATTGCCAAAGCGACGAACAAAGCTGCCTACGACTGCATCGGTACTAGCACAAAGAAACGGTCGGTTGGCATCGTCGTGATGGACTTCCCCGGAGAAGAGTTGATTTATAGGATCATCCTCACAAATCACTACAAAAAGCGCCGTCAGCTGCGAGGAGGCGCTTAAAACCAGGAGGATTTCTCCGATACGATATAGGATACAATGCATATGAATATGATATGAACCAATTGACCGCTTTGTCTTTGGTAAAAATGACCTTGTGAAAGGTGCCTCTACTAACGTAATAAACGAATGAAAGTACATTAGCATTATGCAGACATCTTGCCAATTTTTCGAAAGCGCCGAGCTTTCATGTCGGCCAATTCCTTGGCCATGGCTGCGCGGCGCTTCATCTCATCCGTTTGGTGCAGTACAACCTCAGTCTTTTCACGGCGTTTGGCTTCCTTGACTTCGGCAGCAGCCACCTGCTCTTCTTCCACAGAAGGTAATGGCAGTGCTTCTACAATTTCAATCCCGCCCCACGTCACTGTTTTCTTCTCCATCTCTTCCTTTTTGGCTGGTTCAAAGAATGCCATGGCATTCAGGAAATTCTTGCGGGCTTCAGCATTTCCCTTCTTGATGGATCCTTTGGGTAGCGGTGGAGACAGCTGTGGGATTTCTTTGGGTGGGGCGAGGGTTGGTTCTGTTGCTTCCTGGGGTTCCTGAAGTGGTGCGGACTGCTCTTGCCTGAGTTGTTCCAGCTTGGATTGCTCTTCTTCCCGTTCCTCCTGGCACAACTCCTTGGCGTCATCGTATGCCAACCGGCGAGCCATGGCCTCGAGCTGCTGCAGTTTCATGGACTCGATCTTTTCCATTTGTTCGTTGCAAAGATGATCGATCATAGCGTTGAACGCCTTGGTTTCATCGGATTCTCGCAGGATGTTGGATGTGTTCATTGTTGCTGCTTGCTGTTTGTTTTATAGATGCGGTTTGTTGTTTAGATGCAGTTTGTGTTTTAGTTGCTTTTTGGCTTTGGCGCTTGTGAGCTTGTGAGCTGTTGTTCTTGGCACCCCCAGCAGCATTGTCTCGGCATGGCCGTCCGTGTCATTGGTGGCTCTTTCAGTGGCTCTTTCAGTCCACCTTTCGAACACAAACGTGTCTGGGTTGTGAAACGCGTCTGCCACTGGAATTCGTTGGTGGGAGGCTCTCTCCAGTCGTGGTCGGCCGAAACTCGGCGGCAGCGAGGACAAAAGCAAAAGATCGACGGGTCTGTTGAACAGCAATAGTCCCCACAAAAGCAACAGACAACAACAGCAACGACAGGATAACAACAACAAGGACAGCATACAAAACCCCCACTCTCTAGCTAGATCTGCGCACTGACGCATAAAACCCCCTACTTTGTGCTTCAACTGACCCATAAAGCCCTCTACTTTATGCACTTAACGCACAAAGTCCCCCACTTTGTGCACGATTAAGACACAAAGTCCCCGACTTTGTGCACAAAGTCCCCGACTTTTTGCACGATTAAGGCACAAAGTCTCCAACTTTTTGCACGATTAAGGCACAAAGTCCTCTACTTTGTGCACGATTAACGCACAAAGTCCTCTACTTTGTGCACGATTTAGCACAAAGTCCCCGACTTTTTGCACGATTAAGGCACAAAGTCTCCGACTTTTTGCACGATTAAGGCACAAAGTCTCCGACTTTTTGCACGATTAACGCACAAAGTCCTCTACTTTGTGCACGATTTAGCACAAAGTCCCCGACTTTTTGCACGATTAAGGCACAAAGTCCCCGACTTTTTGCACGATTAACGCACAAAGTCCCCGACTTTGTGCCACTATGCGTCAGTCGTGCACAAAGTCGAGTACTACTAGTAGCACACTTCGGTTTTCCAGTTGTGCTTGCTATGCATATGGCATACCGGTAATACTGTACATGATAAGAAAACAGAGAACGCTACAATGGATTTCTTGGAACGCCAATCGAAAACCCAAACGGCGGTGGTAAACCAGCAACTGTTGGAAAAACATCCCAAAGAACAACAAGGAGGCGCGGGAGTTGAGAATGGCATTGAAACGACCGAGGCTCGTGAAGATCATCCTTTTGATGGTATTCCTTTCGCTCAAAACGAAGAAATGGAAGCTGAGGAAATTGATGGCTTCTTGTTGCCCTTTGATGTGGAAGACCTGTGAAGTGGAGAGTTGTCGACGAAGATAATACCGATTCCACGTCCACGGCGACCAACACCGTCGCAGTTTCCAACTTGCAATGGACAATCCAGCCGCTTGTTTCCTAACTATTAGAAATAAAATAACTGTCAACCATTGACTGTTCTACAGTGCCGTGTTCTAACTAATGTTTGTTTGCTGCTAATGAGGGTATTATTATCGTTGGCTTACTTACTTTCGTTTGTTTCCGTCTAGGAACCAATATTTGCAGACCAGAGCCGTCCCTACAATACCGACAAGAGTTCCATGCCAGAGACCCGCCTGGAACGCGGTTTGTTTCATAGTCTTCTCGGTGGCTTTGTCGTCCTTTTTGTTGTTATTGTTGCTGTCCGTCAATGCCATTTGTGCCAGCACAATGGTTCCCATCAATCCAGCATCATTTCCAAATCGACTCGTGACAATGACCGTGGTAATATCGGGCAACACGAGATATCCATTGATCAATTGAAGGGTGCGTTGTTGAATGTTTTCCAAGAGTCCTTTGCGTTGCATCAGTCCTCCTCCCAACACAATGGTTTCCATACTGAGTGTGAGCAAGAGGGTCGTACAGAGATTGGCGAGGGCATTGGCGGCGTGATCCCACAGCTCGTCGTCGTCCGAGAGTGTGGCCAGAATGCTGCGATCGTTATTATTGTTGTTGTTGGACAAGTATCGCTCGGTGAGTGCCACGGAACTGGCCAATCCTTCGACGGTATTCTTGCCGTGAAAGGGACACTTGGCACCCCAAGAATAGCCTTCAAAAGTGTCGCCGGGCAATGGTTGTACGGGAACGTGACCTCCTTCGGGATGCATGCGACCGTGGACCGGTTTGTGATTGACAACCAAACCGACACCAATGCCAGTGCCCACGGTAATGTAGGCCAAACTACTGCTCGTGCTTGTGCTACTACTAGTAGAAGATAATAACAAATGCTCGGCCATGGCGGGAGCATTGACGTCGGTATCCACTTTGATTTTGAGTGGCAGTGTGCCTTGACAAGCGGCTCGAAGAGGTGTCAAGAGATCGACATGACGCCAGTGTGCCTTCGGGGTGGACGCCAAAATTTTTCCGTACGTGTCGGGTCGATCGACATGCACTCCCAGCGGTCCAAACGACGCAATGCCCAAGGCATGATATCCATTCGGTGGTTTGTGTTGTTTCAAAAAGGCACAGCATTCGTCCAACGTCTGGGCAGGGTTGTCATGACTCGAGTCGACTTGGTGACGCGCGATAATGGTGGGTAGATTGTTGTTGTTGTTATCGGTAGCATTAGTATTACTGCTGACGTGATGACAAATGGCAACCACAAAGGAAGTACCGCCAGCTTCTACTGCGGCAATCACAGCAGGAGATTCCTTGGTAAAGACAGTGTTGTTGTTGCTGCTGCTCATCCTTATTGTTGTTGTTGTGCCAAAGAGCGGTTTCAGTATCTTCTTGGCAAGGTGTTGGATATCCTACATGTATCTTTTGTCTTGGCAACTGTGCTATCTTCTTTCGCAAGAATTACGTTGTTCCCTCATCTTCTGTTCTGTTTCCCTCCCAAAAAAAGGGTTAAAGAACGCGGGAAAGCATTCGTGTTTAGGTCTCATCGATGACCCGCGAAAACAAAAAGACCAAGCACATCACTAATAACGTAGTACAGGTACAGTGACAAACAACGGCAACCAAAGAAAACTCTGAAGACTGGTCCTGCTGTCTATCTATCTGGGGAATAAGACTGGTCTTTACTCGTTCCAGAACAACAGTTACTACAATCATCGTGGTCTTTAGTCAGCTCTTGTTGTTGTGTGTCAAATTGGAAGGCCCTACACTGCTCTCATCTCTAGTAGAGGTTATCGGCATCAGATTGTTACCCAAAGATAACACAGGACCTACATTCTCAATCCAAGTCTCATTCATCTCAATCATCTCACTCATCTCCATCAACATGACGAATCACTTCCGAATACACCAACTGCTGTTGTTGTTCGTAGTAGTAGCGTTGGTATCCTTGTGTGCCAGGTCATGCGAGGCAAGATCAGGGCCACGGGGGTATCATCATCGACAGCATCGAAGACTGGGGCAACAACAGTACTACTACGAACGGGGCTTGCAGATGATGGGTGACAGTTCCGACTCGCCGACGTTCCAACCGACTATGGAACCCACCATTTTGAGACTCAATGCAGAAGCCAAGGCGGACGAAAAGAAGGATGAAAAGGCTGTCGATGCAAAGGAACAGGATAACGAGGAAGAAGACACGGCCAGTCCTACCACGGCCAATCCAACCTTTGGTGCCACGGCCAGTCCAACTACGGAGAGTCCTGCCACCAGTAGTCCCACCACTGCGAGCCCTTCGACAGAGCCTCCTTCGACAGAGCCTCCTACAACAGAAGCTCCTTCGACAGCGTCACCCACGGAAGGGGCACAGCAAGCCAATGAACCACCCACCTCTCCACCAGTTGCCGTTGTGGTCGAACCAGCAGTCCCAGTCACGCCGCCTCCCACACTGACGCCCCTTATAGAGCCATCGTCTCCACAAGTAGTTCAACCACAAACCTTCGAAAACGACGATCCATCACTCATGACACAAGCAGCAACCACCACCCAGCAACCAACAACTACCAATGAAACGCTACCTCACTATGTTCGTCTCGAACCCTTGTACATGACTGTGAGTCTCACTGCAGGAGACTTTTCCGAAGAAGGCTTTATGGATGTACTCGTCGATTACATGGAATTCAACATGGCACGAGATATCGAAGGATTCCAATCCATTACCTACGGGATTAGTACATTTAGTCAAACCAACGCCATTGTCACCACCTCAAGATCCGCCAACAATACGGCCACAAATCCCGACTTTATTGTATCCAACATTACCGCTCATGTGCATTTACTCACGGCAACGTTTGACGGGAAACCCAGACAACCCGACTTGGTCATTACGCAATACATGGAAATGTTGCTTGAAAATGAAGAACTCTTTCAACAATACATTGATTCACAACCACAATTGGATGCACAGATTTACAGTACCACGCTCGAGTTTGAAGAAACCATACAGCCCACCAATGTACAGACGGACAATAACGCCAACGCCAACGGAGTACAAGAAGAGCAAGAGGAATCTCCACCCAAGACGGAAGAAGAAAAGGCAAGTAGTATATGGAAGATTGTCGGTATCACCATGGGATGCTTTTGTGTGCTGTTATGGGTCGTCTACTTGCACGGCATTCAATCGCGGCCCATTAGTACGTAGTGGCCGCGAAAGCAAAAGTAAGCAAAGCATGCGACCCGACCGACTTCCCCGAAAGATCTCCAAACATGTATGTTCGACGCAAAAAGCCGTCAAGACCAAAAACACAAAAAAGAGAAGATCCAAAAAGAAGAAGATCTCGGCGATGGGATGGATGGACGATGCGTCCGCCCCCGTGGTCCCAGGCGACGCTACCAAAAAAAAAGAGAGCTCGCCCCCCAAAATACATTAGCGTTCATAAACGATCGTACCCTATTCGTGTGGTGTTTTTTTTAGTATGTGTGCCTTTCTACAGGGCAATGGTGTAAAACAATAACAATAATAATAACAAATTATGGGACTCTTGCTGTGTTTTCGTTGCTGTTGGCAAAATGTCTGAATGAATGCATGTGTTGGCGCCTCGGTGCGGAAGGCAGCCTGCAAAGTTGCCGCATGGCCTGGCACAACCAACGAAGGTGTCAACGTTGCATCATGGACGAAGGCAGGAATAAGCACAAACAAACCATCTAGCTAGCACGCTAGACGCTGGCTTTGGAAATGACGATGGGTCCCAGTAATGACATTTGCGTTTGGGCATGCACCACCAACGACAAAGTAAGTGATCATGCTACCGTAACAATGCAGGTACTGTTTCCTAAATGCACTGCCGCATAACACATTCTCAAGGGGGGCCAGCGACAACCGACTGCTTCCACAACTCTATTCAACATCGTCTAAGACGTGTCACTCTCTAAACAACCAAAACAGAATACACGGATAACATCAAAAGCTCAATTTGGAAAAATGAAGGGTGCACTGTAGGAACCAAGCAGACCGCCAAACTATTGATCCATTGCAACATACATGATGAATACAAAAGGTTCTGCCAAAGCATTTCTGGCAATATTCGTCTTCCGCTGCGTCACACGGCTATACCCGAATGACGCAATTTGAGCCCTGCGGATGTTGCATTGCTTTTTGAACCGGGGCAGATTGATGTTGTGCTTTTCTTCCTACCGGTACTGCTTGATCCTCCTTTCCGAAATGGTTCCATCTTGTCTCTTCGACGTCTTTGTCGGTTCCATTTGCGCAGGACCTGTACCACGCCAAACACAAATACGCCCCAGGAGAGTTGCATTGTCAAGTTAAGGTACCTATCAAAGGCGACTGTGCTTTTGGATTTCCACGTTCCGAATCCATTGTGTACATAAGACAGTTTGCCTTGTGCTTTGGATGCCATGATGACATCCCGCCTCGTTTTGGCAAACCGTGTCAAAAGACCCGGTCCGGCCGTCATGAGTGTCCGTGTTGGTTCGGGGACGTTGACCCATTGATCCGGGTGAATTGTATGGATCAAGTCCAAAAAGAAGGGTGCCTTGGGTGCCGGTGCAATCAGCACACAGCTGGCGTAACTGGGGAATTCCTGGAAATTGGTGACATATGGTCGCAAAAGTTCCATCAGGGTGCTATTGGCGGCAAAACTGGCGGTCTCTTCAAAGATGACCACTTTGTTCTGTTCTTCCGCTAGGGCTTGCCAATAAGCAATATCTGTCAGTGGATCCACATCCACATCAGCGTATATACCACCATTCAAGTAGAGCTTGGCATATCTCCAGAAATCATATTGCATATTGGTAGTGGCAAGACTGTCAAAGGCTTGGAGAAACTGTGGAGCTTGCGTCTCTCGGACTAATGCTTCCACATCTTGTCGAATATCACTGTTGGGAGTGATAGCCACCTCAAACCCAAACCGTTCCCAGTGTCCACGATATTCTAATATCTGTGGGAACTCTTCCGTACGAGACTCATTCCATGTGGACCACACCTTGTGTTGTTGGTGCGCGGGAACAGCAGCCTTGACGACGACGTCTTGTTGGAAGCCCCTCATCAGCTTCTCTTCTCTATTCTTTCTGATGCCTGGGTTTAGGTACAGTGTTCAGGCGGTCTGCTGGCCTAGCTTCGTGGTTGTACCATCAGGTCCGACGAAGCAAGAATAGCAACATGCTCCAAACCAGGAGCTCTCCGCGTCCGTGTGGATTGAAGTTCTCAATGTGGTCCTTCCATCGATTGAGGCAATCGATCAATCGAATAGTGTTGTGCGCCCAAGTCCAAGTCCAGTCCCAAAAGTCTTCTCTCCCGGCACGTACCGGTATGCATACCACGGTGTACAGCCCGTAAAAAAATACGGTACCGCAGGCAAGGCAACTCCTGCGAGCTGCATTGAAGTATTCTCTTCCTTATCCCTAAATTCACGGACGAAAACAGACCAGAATCAATCGAATCCTTTTCTCAAAAGTTGAAGTTGAGGTCGGTATCCTGCACCAATGACGCATCTATTTGCTCCTCTGCAACGCAACCAAGAATCCAATTCTTTCGTTCAACATCCCTCTATCCTATCCACCACCTGGACCAGCTACCGCTCCAAGGCTCCTTGTGCCTCCTTTGCTTTATCAGCAACGATCTTCACTCACAATTTTAAAACAGTTGATCAACTACTTTTTATTCGCCACCATCAAAATGAAGTTCGCCGTCATCGCCTCTCTTATCGCCAGCGCTGCTGCTTTCGCTCCATCCAAGAGTGCTGCCCCAGCCTCTGCTCTTAGCATGAGCTACGAAAACGAGATTGGAGCCCAAGTTCCCCTTGGATTCTTCGATCCCTTCGGCGTTGTCTCTGATGTCGACCAAGAGACCTTCGACCGTCTTCGATACACTGAGATCAAGCACGGACGTATTGCCATGCTTGGAGTTGTCGGATACTTGGTCTCCGAGGCCGGACTTCGTCTTCCAGGAGACATTGACCTCTCCGGAACCAAGTTCGCTGACATCCCATGCGGATTCGATGCCCTTGGAGCCATCCCTGATGCCGGACTTGCCCAATTGATGGCTTTCATTGGATTCTTGGAGATCGCCGTCATGAAAGACATTGAAGGAACCGGAAACGAACACATCGGTGACTTCCGCAACGGTGAGTTCGGGCTGTCGCCTAAGTTTGCTTGCACATTCCCGTGAATCATTTTCTCATCTTTCCTTCCTCGTTTCAAAACAGGATTCATTGACTTCGGATGGAACCAATTCGATGATGCCACCAAGGTTGCCAAGCGCGCCGTTGAGATCAACCAGGGACGTGCCGCCCAAATGGGACTTCTTGGTCTTATGGTTCACGAGAAGCTTGGTGTCTCCCTTCTCCCCGCCTCTGCCGTTCATTAAGCACTCGGCTTGACAACGGGGATTCTCTCACTGCTACACAAGAGCTCTCTCCGCGATGTGGTTTGAATATTGTAAATATATAGACACCAGAACTTCTCCGGCGAACCAAACTTAGTATAGTAGCATCTTATCAGAAATGAATTAAGAGCTCCCGGAACATCTCTGTTAAGCGGCACCCTCATGTCCCGGTAGTCTCTCGCCTCACTCAAATGAGATTGACGAGTCTCGCAACGGGAGCCCCACGACTATTCCCCGCGGAAGCCCCACAACGGTTAGTCCAAGCACGGGGCTACATTCCGATGGAAATGGGAGTAAGAAAGACCCTGTTGACTGGGAACCTTTGTGAACCGGGCCTCTCGCTAGTCTAGTGGCAGGCTACTAGTAGATAGTAGAGCAGAGAATAGCGGAATTGTTTGAATCCAAATTCTCAACAAAACCAAGCATCTGGCTGGCGTCAACAGACAACAAGCCAACAAGGACTATTGTGTGCGTGGTTCTAATCTAGCCCGACCTCTTCCATCTTGGACCTACGACGTAGTTGTTCCCCCGTGCTTCCCCCCCGGCTACCAGATATCCATTGTTGACTGTTGCGGGGCTTCGCCAGCCAGCCGCCGGTACTAACTTGTGGCCATGGTGGTACGGTACCGGCTGGATATTATTGAAACGGCCACAAGCTCCCCAACCAACAGCCAGCCAACGCCCAATGGGCGGCGAAAGAAAGTACTAGACTAATAGCTAGTCTAATCTAAAAGATCATTCGATTTTAGCAAAAGAGTGACTGGATTCAAGATGAGGAGTAAATGTCACTCTCTACATCATGTACATGTAGCGCAGCTAGTCTACCGGTAGCGAGGGAGCCATCTAAGCCGCAAGCATCTGGCCATTGGCGGAGTTCATAATATGAAACAGTCAAGCAAACAACTCGGAACAGATAAAACTTGGCTGTGGTACGCCACCTCAACCAGCCCGCAGATCTCCACGAGGCCGGCCTCAGCTCGTCTCCCTACCGTTCTAGTGGCTAGCCAGGTTGTTGGAGTCTATGCCAAGACATGGTCCAGGAAGGAATTACCCGCCTTGAACCTGACGGTACAAGACCCGATGCTACACGTTGCATCAATCATGAGAGCCAACAGCATCGTCAACAGACTTCAATCCCCTCTGTGGGAGCACACTCAGATTTAACTGCGTACCGTACTTAGAATGCAATTGTCTAATTGAATTGAGTTAATTAGGTTCTTCATCCATGCAAAGCCTTTAAAATCTTGGAATATTGGCGCAACCCATGGGCTCGCGAGAGCGTGACACTTGGGTTTTTCTCATTGACATCCACAGGCAGCAGCATTTTTCGGCCAAGAACCAACAATAGAAACACAAAACAATTAGCCTTCTAGCTAGCTAGACAATGACTGCAATCTCTAAACAATACCTATTGGGAGTCCTCCTGTTTTTTGGCTGGTTGATTCAGCTGGAGGCATTACGACCGTCTCGTGGAATTCGTGGTATTTCTTCATCTCCGGTTCCTGAGGTGCAGCAACGAAAGCTTCAAGTAGTCGAAGAAAGAAAGGAGGACAAGGAAAAGGACAAAAACAAAGAAGAGGAGGCTGAAGACGAGAAAGATAAAGAGGAAATTGAAGATGAAGAGCAAATTGATGCTGACCTTGACGAGGAAGCTGAGGCAGAGGAGGAACCCGAGCCTGAAGAGGAGACTACCCAAGAAGAATCCGACCCTGAGCCCGAACCAGAACCAGTCACAGACGATGAGCCAAATCCAGCTACTGATGATGAGTTAGAGCCAGCTACTGATGATGAGCCAGAGCCAGCTACCGACGACGAGCCAGAGCCAGCCACGGACGACGAGCCAGAGCCAGCCACAGACGACGAAACTACCAACAATAACGACGAAGAAGACACCCAAGAAGAAGAGGTAGAGGAAGATCCCATCACGGATGATGAACCTGAAGAAACATTATCTCCTGATGAAACTGCCACAACTTCTCCGACCGAAATCTCCACTGTCGTTCCGACCTTTATTGACGTGGTGGCTGAAAACGAAACAACTACCAATAACACACTGGACGAGCTGGAGGAATTGGAAGCTGAAGTAGTTTCCTTTTCTGTGGAACTCTCCTCCTTTTCGATCTCCATCGATCATGACGAATTGATTCAAAAGGATCCTGGAATTCAGGTGCACCTCCACGCAGAGATGCGACGATCTCTTCCTAATATTGTAGCCATTGAAATGACGTTCTCATCGTCTACTGTTCCGAGCCGCAACAGAAGACGTCTGATTCCGCAGTTACTCGAGTACACTGAAGCGACGGCTTTCTTTGAAGGTCCACCTCGCCACGAAGATGAAGATGTCTTGCAACTCCAGGCGCAAATTCTCTCCGACCAAGATGCCATCGCTGCGGTCATTGCGGCAAACCTTGAAACGACTACCTCCACCTTTACTGTGTCAGCTATTGAAGTGGAAGCAATACCCGCAGAAGATGCAGGCACCGCCAACGGCATCAGCGGAGGAGACAGTAGTAGCAACAATGAAGACGGCGGTCTTTCAACCACTGGACTCGCCCTTGTCCTTGTCGCGGCCTGTGTTGGAGGACTCGTGTTCACTGGAGTGTGCCTTCTTGCAGTTAAGAATCCAGACCCAAGAACGCAGCAAGTTGGCACTGCTTCGCAATATAGCATGCCCCCAAAGGACGAGGTTGTTGAAAAGGGAGAAGTTCTCAACCGGACATTTGACACAGAAGATACGTCCCCCAACCATAAGGCTTCTGACAGCGAAAGCGATCAGGTTCACGAAAAGTTTGCTCAGAGCATGGAGGAACATGAATTTGAGGGAGCCTGGAAGGGTACCGGTACGGCTCCGGTGAGAGCGCAGGCCTCAGTGATGCGAGGGACGTTGATTGAGAAGCCATCATTTGATCAGGTGAGCCCATGATGATGATGTACCGTAGCCCTCCTGGTGGAGGTATTGTCGCAGATTCGACTCGACTCTCAAAGAATTCTTTATGGTTGTTGCATTCCGTACGCAAAGAGCTTTGAAGATGAAGCGACAGACGACGATGATCTAAAACGTGAATTGGGTGAGCAGTTGAGTGATCTGCAAGCTTCTGTGAAAGCCGCGCGAGAGAAGACCCAAAAACTATTGGATGAAGCAAAAACTCAAAAGTACTAGGAGCACAATCAAACACCAGGATCTGGCCTTTGTTCCCTTGCTGTCTGCCTCCAATGCGAGAAACTATGTTTGTGGCGACTTGTTCCGCTGTTCTGTTCTGCCGTGATTGATTGAATCCTTCATTGGCTCGCTCATATGCATGTATGTGTACTATACTGTAGCTCTTTAGCTAGATCTTCTTCGTCAAGACTGCGTAGAAGCTAGTCATTTGGTTGCAAGATTGTTTGGATTTGACTAGGTCGTCCAACCCCTCTGGCTGTTCAGACCCGAAGATAGGCAGCCATGGTGGGAAGAACTAGGATACCACACGACGAATCGAACCTTCCTCCATCGAGGCTTCCTTCCGATTTCACTGAGAGTCTTTCTCCATCCAATCTCAAATCCTAGATAGCTATCGAGCTACTAGCTAGGTAGCATTTGTATTACAGTGACTGTAGAGCCAGCGAGGACTTCATCCTGCGTGCTAATTGCCACTTGCATCTTGGGATCTTGGGCAAAAAAGCATCTACTGGCTGGCCACCGTAGACTTTCCATCAGTCATGCTTGAATTGAGATTTGAGATGCAAGGACCTGTTGCTGTATTATGCCATTATGCCAGTTCCGACAAAAGTACCTTTATTTCTCTTGGTCCCGTTCTCTCTGCCGTGTTACCTCCGCACGCCACCCTTGGGGTTCCAACATCAAAAAAGACATCCGTTCTGCGCCAACACACAGCAGCCAAGGGAGTCTCTTGTCAGTACCGCACAGCCACCGTGGCCAGCACAGAGAGAGACAGACAGAGAGCAACGTTGCACTCTTTTGCTTGAGGTTCAACCTTGCTATTGCAGACGAAGGCTTGCTTCGGACTTTGAACGGCTGTGTAGAACAGCAGGTGGTAGCCTCTTGCTTGTGGGTCATTAGTCTTCTACCGGTGGCTGCAACGGTGCAACGGTTGTCTTCTATAGCACGGGAGCTTACGTTGGAAGCCATCAATAGCCAAGGTCTGCCTGAGCGCCTAGCTAACTGGAGTCGAGCCTGCAGTCTTCCAAGACCAGTGACAGTAGTCTGTTGATATATTATCAAGTTATTTGGGGGTATCTGCTGTTGGTGGTATCAGAGAGGAAACCAACCGAGCACCGAGGCCACCTATCATTTGAACACCCAATCTCGAGACGAGTTGACCGATACGCTCCAACCAATCTACATCTAGCTAGGAGCTTCAGTTGTAGAACAGCAGAAGAAGGAAGAAGAGGAGGGAGAAGACCTAGCTTCCGTAGCGTGATTATCCAGGTTATCTTGCTTGAAACAGCTTTGGCAGAGTAAAACTTGCCAACCATGGCCACGATGACAGAACAACATCAGCCGGCGCACTCTCCTGCTCAGTCACAATCCACAAGCAACTACAAATGGCCCGAGCATGTAGCAGCCAAAATGGCAGACTTTATCCATGAAGAAGTGAAGGATATGCTCGGGAACAGTCGCTTGGTCCGCAGTTCGGATGGTATCTCGTTAGTCCATCGTAACGAGTTGACGGTAGGCCGTTTGCTGGGAAAGGGTGCATTTTCGGAGGTTCACGAAGTCAAATACAAGAATCATGTTTTTGCTATGAAACATCTCAAGTTACGGTTAATGTCACAGCCAGAGAACTTTCGATTGGCAGCCAGTGAACTGGCCGTAGAAGCGCACATGCTAGCGTCCTTTTCCCATCCCAACATTTTGAGGATACGAGGATGGGCTTTCAATGGAATTAGCAGTTTTGCGGACGGACGACACGACAGCTTCTTTCTCTTATTGGATTCCCTAGACGAAACACTCGATCACCGAATTGCTACTTGGACCAAAGAAGCCGCCTCCAGTGCCATGGACGAACATAGAATGCCCGGGTCGACAGGGAGTGGTCCTCAGACACATAAAGGACTTGTTTCGGGTATTTGGCGGAGGTTAAGCTTGCATCAGACACCGCAGGTAGGAGGGGGTCCTGCCAATGAAATGTCCGAGGTGGAACGATTGCAAGAACAAAAGAGACGGAACCTGTTTCTCGACAAGCTGGGGATTGGTACTGAAATCGCTGCTGCCTTGATGTATCTACACGAGATGGGAGTTATATTCAGGTACGTTGCTATTTTCGTGATTCTGAAGCTGCTAGACCAGCACTGTGTCAAGGCGCTGGTAAATGTCTGATTTGATTTGTTCATCGCAACTCGTTCGTTCCCCGTCTGGCCGCGAAGAGATTTAAAACCCAACAACATTGGCTTCCTCCACGGTCGCGTTCAGCTATTCGACTTTGGGCTCTCAAGGGAGCTACCACAATTGGATGTACAAATGCCATTTGAAATGTCTGGCAAAGTTGGAACGCTACGGTATATGGCTGTCGAGGTAGCCCAGCATCGGCCCTACAATGTTGCCGCCGATGTCTATTCATGGAGCATGGTCTGTTACGAACTCATGACACTCCAAAAACCGTTTGGAGGATGGACCCGAGATATGCACAATAATCTGGTCTGCGGGAAAGGCGTACGGCCCGAATTCACAACGGACATCAGTTACCCACTCAAGCACCTGCTAGAACAAAGCTGGGCTCAAAAACCAAGAGACCGACCCAATATGCGACAAGTTGTAGATCGACTGCGAGTGATGGAAGAAGAGCAATTGTTGCTCTGCCAGACACAAGCTACTGCAGCGTCACCGGGGCGAGGCGGTGTTCAGCCGGAACAAGCGCAAAACCAACAACCACAAGGTTTTGGTCGGTTCATGGGTCGAGGTAAGTCTCGTGAACGTGTTTCGTCTTGTCGTGCGTAGATGTTTGGTAGACTACTTTCGAGGAATCATCTCAATCGCTTGTTGTATTATCACCAAATAGGGCGTCGATCTTCCGGTCGGTAATGATTGAATGTTTCAATTTTGACAATGTTGTTGGAATGAATTGGCGTTCTTTCTTCTGTTGGATTACATGTATGAAACAAGTCAGATTCGTCGCTTAAGCGGCCACCACCGGTTCAAAGTCGCGAGAAGCAACATGTGAGGTCAACCTGTGCTGTAGTAGGGAAACGTCAATGTACCGCCTCCATGGGCCACCCTCCTCTTCCTTTTGAGTCCTTCCCATTCGAACGTAAAGTTCGCCCAACAAAAAGTCCGTTCTAGTCTCGGTCTTGACAGAGCACGAAGCTGTTTTCGGTAACGTGCTTTCGGCCTGACGCTTGGAAGCGGCAACAACAATTTGTGCATACGTCTTGCAGCTTGAGCAGCAACCGCATAGAAAACTATTTCCATAAGATGATTGTAGAGTAAAACCAATTAGTTCATTGTGTCGAAGACATCAACATACAACGAGCGACGTTGAGATTCGAACGAGTGAGCACTTGCCTGTGTTTGCTCAATTTCTAACCACCAGTGGCATGACGACAACAAGCTGCACAGTGCTCAGCAGGTACTGCAAATCCAGTCATGACTAAAACGACTGTACATACAAGGGCATCTACTTTAAAAAGTGGAATAGACTAGTAGTCTACTGGTCGGAATTGTCCTTTTGTCGTGGTGGCCAACCTGCTACGCCGAAGGAGGGTATATCGCATACTAGCCCCAAAGCGGTAGAATGCTATGCTTGTGTAGTCTACTTCCATTCTCTTTTACCTGGGCTGAGACTGTGGCTACACTTCGTCTCGTTCCGTTCTTGGGGAGGAGTGAGTACTAGCACCAAGATCAAGCCTAGCTACCTACGATGCCAGTGCCTCCTCTCTGTCTTCCTTGGTGGGCCACCGCAAAAAGTTGGCATTTTCAACGGTATACATTCTTGCCATGGATTGAAAGGCAATATCATCTCCTCCCCGAATCATATTGCCAGCATCGCAATTCAAAGGAGAGTCCGCATCGGGAGCACTGAGGAGTGCCAATATGGCTCGACACGCTGCTTGCAACCCCCACGCAGGAGACCATTCCTTTTTGAGGATATCCAAGCAGATATCTCCCGTTCGAAAGTGAACATTGGGATGGAATACCTGATAACATCAAATCAAGTAAGTGGAAGTGAATAATAAAAGACAGTATACGTTGATATATGGGTGAGTCGTTTGCCTCCTAGGTAGTAGCTTAGAGCACTTTTTGCAAGTACTTCAGGATGGGTATCTCTCACTCACCTTGGTGACAAATGTCATGGTGGGCGGCGCCAAGGGATACTCCGTGCCACAGACAATGGACAGGTGAAATACTCCACCTTCATATGGAGTGTCTTTGGGTCCTCGAATAAGAGCTGCCCACTTGAGGACATTGTCCGAATCGGGTATCAGGCAAATGTCATCGTCTTCGTCCTTGTGTCGTTGCAGATTCTGAAGCTCCTTTCGCAGACGCTTGGCAGCGGCTAAACTGTGGGCGACCATGGTATCACTATCACACTAACTGACTAAGGTAACTAACTAACTAACAGAATCAACCAAATTCATATACTGCAACGGTGCTGTGAAAGAAACAAGGACACCAGCAGAGTGTTTCGGTGGTGTCATGGTCGCAGTTTTTTGATTGAGTCGAGTCATGAGTATTGAGGACTCATTCGAATGCTTGCGGTAGGGTTAAAGACATGATGCATACGTCAGTGATCCAGCTCTCTGCCAAATCAGCCCCTGTTGATCAGCAGATCTGTTCGAGTCTACTGACGATGTGATGGCTGACCATGGCGATTGATCTCCCAACCACAGTATCGATAAACAAAGCACAACTCCCCTTTTGAAAGACAGACACAACCACATCCACCATGAGATCGATCTTTGCCTCCCTGTTTGTTGCCTTGTGCCTGTTGGCCCGAACATCGGCCTTTGTCACTCCATCATCGTCCACCACGGCGCTGTCAAGAAACACTGTTGGGACTGCAGCCGCAACTACAAGCACACAGTTGCACGAGAGACAATGGAATTTCAATGAAGGACAGGGTCCCTTTGGAATGAAGAAGAATGCCGAAATCTGGAATGGAAGGGTAGCACAGGTGCGTAGGTGTTTGACCAAAAGCAGAGGGGTTCTGGCAGGGTTTTTGGCACACCTGAACTGAAATGAATATCCGGACTTACTTATGTTTCATCTTTCCCCTTTCTTTTCCTTGTTGTTCAGATGGCATTTCTGGTCATCTTTATTCAAGAATTGGTGCAAGGCAAGGGTGTCATTCAAGGATTCCAAGAAGGCGATCCGGCCAACGTTGCTGGGTTTGCTGGATTTTTCTTGACGATTGCTGGATTGACTGGATTTTTGGCCCTCAAAGGAAAGAACGATTATGTGGATGAGAATCTCTAATTGTATAAATTGCAATCAATAAAAGTTCAACACCGCACATGATTTGGCCGCATGGCAGTTAGTTGGATGGAAGAAGCCAGCAACAACGGTGCATGGAACGAACGAACGAATGATGAATCCAATCTGATAACGTATTCAATCAATACACACGTAGAAACCACCTCGATTCGATTCCTTTGCAAGCAAGCTTAGAGATGTTAGCTACTAGTTAGAAAGAAAGGATCTCATTGAAATGTTACAGCTGAATTAATTGTCAACCAGTCTTCAGCTCGCCGGGACTATCAAATGCTGCGCCCGAAATATGGGAGAAGAGAAATCTTAGCTTCAAGGGATGAGTGCAAAAGTGCGGTCTATAATTCGTGAGTGCTTCGTGATGCCATTCCCGAGTGTCATTGACGGATCTCCTTTGGATTTGACGACGCCATCTTTCGCAGAACATTTGCTTGTCGTTGCGAGAGAATGGGAATGCCATAGAGAGCATCATCACAGAGAGGTGTCCATACCATTGATCTACCATTCTCCCCATTCATTCAATAGTTAGTTTCCATGTCCTTTCCTACATTCATTTCCATTGCTCGCACTCCACAAGCCCTTTTCTTGAGGAGAGCTACAACATCTATTGGAAGCAGCAGTTGTCATTTGGTTGGGTGGCGTTCCATGAGCATGCTCTCTCCCGAGGAACGCAGCCAAGCCTTGTCCAAACTTCCCGCTTGGAGTGATGATGCGAGTGGGGATCGAAATGCCATTCAAAGGACGTTTGAATTCCAGGATTTTCAACAAGCATGGACGTTCATGACGGATATTGCCAAGGTGGCAGACGAAATGGATCATCATCCAGAATGGTTCAATGTCTACAACCGAGTCGAAGTCACATTGACAACTCACGATTGCAGTGGTGTCTCACAAAAGGTAGGTCAAGATGGATACAGTACCCCCCCAAAAGTGACATACATACTGACTTGGCACACCGAACTAACTAACTCATTCTGTTTTCTTGACTCTTGGCTGTTATTACATGTAGGACATTTCTTTAGCAGAAACCATGGAGTCCTGTGCCAAGAAAATTCAATCTCCAAACAATAATGACAATTCGCCAACACCGGCCACTCTTACCTTCAAACCAACGTGTGATTTGTTTGATGACTACGAAGATTCCGCTCGTGTCCCCACCGTATCCTTTCTCAACTTGGGCGGCAAGAAACAATTCTGTGGTACTGCCGTCACGGTCAAGTGCTTTGAAGACAATTCACGAGTCAAGGAATTCCTGGAGACAACCAATGGCAAAGGCAAGGTACTGGTGGTGGACGGTGGTGGCTCGCAACGGCGCGCCCTCTTGGGAGATATGATTGCCAAAAAAGCCGTCGACAATCAATGGGAGGGATTGATCGTATACGCCAATGTACGAGATGTCGAGGAATTGCGACAACTCAACCTTGGAGTCATGGCGCTGGGAACGACACCCCGCAAATCCGTGAGACGAGGCGAAGGTCAAGTCGACTTGCCCGTTCAAATTGGGGATGTTTGGTGTCGACCTGGAGATCGCGTGTATGCCGACGAAAATGGAGTCCTGATTGTGGACTAGCTAGCTATGCATAGCTTGCTAGACTTTAAAATTTATCCGTTCGTTCTCTCTTGGTGGACCATACAGTACCATCGATCGTCATGGAGTATTGCCAGTTCTTTCGGAGCGGCAAAAGATAGCACTACTAGCTAACTAGTTCTCGATGAGGCTGCTTTGCGTGCACAAGTCCTGATTCTGCAAATGGATAATAGCGGTACTACTACTAGTAATGGCATCGTTTTGCTTCTCGACTGAATCGTTGCTGCATGGATTCTTACTAGCTAGCTACGGTAGCTACGAGGTTGCCGCAGAGAGGAAGACTGTTTGTCCTCCAGCACCGCCGTTGACACGGTTGAGCCAATTGCCAAGTCGTCGTGTCTGTTTGGTCGTCGTACCAACCGCATACTGTACTTTGTAGCGTTTCCACCCATAGGTGTTTGGAAATGACGATCCTGTGGTAGTCACGAGTAGAGCTCTATAAGTATTTTTTTAGCCTTAACACTAATTAAAAATGTGTGGGAGTTGACCACCCTGGAGCGCTAAAAAGATATCCCAATCCACAATCCCCAGCGAGGAGTGGGAGTATCGATTTGAAGGGTGTCAGAACTGCACCCAAGGCGCCAAAACGAAACGTAGGGTTGGATCATGTCATAAAGCTGATGATGTCGACGAGAGAAAAGGCGGCCGTCAAATTGGTTGAAGTCGACTACAGCGCTGAGTCTACGAAAGCAAAGAAGAAAAGTGCGATCAGGTTGGTCCAACGATACCTGGACACCCTTCAAGTCGACAAGAATTTGAGAAGGATAAACTTCGGCGATTTGACTGTCAAAGGTGGGGGGAACTCCCGCAAACAAAACCACCAACAATGGTGGGATGATTTTTGGAAGTTTCAACCGACTTTCTGGCTTGAAGTTAAACAAGCCAATGGACAACCATACAGCGCAGGAACTTTGAATCGTTACATGGGGGCGGTCAAAGATGTATTGAAGCAACAACTTCGAGTACAAGAGACACATGCTATTTTTTGTGTGTACAGGGAAGCGAAGCTTCAGTTGGGTAAAGCTGTTAGAGCTAATTCTAAACACAGCACGGATTCGAAAGGTGACAAAATATACACTGAAGCCCAGCTTGATAACATCCTGATGCGAAGTCTTTGGATGAACAACACCGAATACCTGCAATTCTATATCTTGCATGTGGCTTGTTTAAAGATGAGTTCCAGAGTATCTGAAACCGGTCGATTACCCATGACCAGATGCAGTATGACGGATGTGGTTGGTCTTGCTGGACGCAAAGTGCGACTACCACAAATATGGAGCGATCGAGACAAATGCGGTGAAAATGGTAACATACCGCTTCTGCCAAATCGTGAAAAAGCGTTGGATGATATCACTGTTGTTTTGGCTATCTCTATGCTCATGTTTGGTGGTGAACGATTGACTCCTGGCTTGGCCGGTCTAGCATTGACTAACGTACACGCCAACAAGTTGTCGAGTTGGTACACGTCGCACCTGGCAAAGTTGTACAAGAAATATCCACCATCGAACAGTTGCGATGTCAAACAAGGTACTAGTCATTGGTTGAAGCATACGGCGCAGCACCATCTAGACACTGCTGGTTTGTCGATGGCGGCTAAAATGTGGGCTGGTCACAAGGTGGACGAAGGAAGCAGGACCAACTACTTTTACACACGTTTTGGTTATCTACTTGAAGGTCAAAAGTGTCTCAGCGGTTGGTACAAACTGCAGGGTGAATTCCCAGATGTTGTGATTCCGGATTTTCAAGACGTTGGCACACCCAACTGTGTCGCTACAGGCGACAAACTTTGTTCTGCTCTTTTTGGTCATGTTGATTGTGTTGATTATTCTTTCAAACGGTGTATCTTGGTTTGTTTTTTGGCAAAATGGGATGCATTGTTGGACCTGTTGCAAGAAGGTATTCAGGATGTGAACGAGCACATCCTTGTGAGTCGTGTAAATGTACTGCTAACACAGAAGAGTGTCTCCCACGAGGAGTTTCATGCCTTCAAGGCAGGATGTTGCATACTGCCATCTTACTCTCCTGGGTCTGTAAAGGAGTCAAGCCAGCGTCCAAAAGACGCTCCAGAATCATCGTCGTCGAAGCAATTTATTGCGATGCAGCCCAAAACGGGACCAACAGTGCAAGCATTTATTGGTCAATTGAAGACCAAAGTACATCCAGTAGAGGTTCTACTCAAATGGCTTCATCATGTTCTGATGGGAGGGTCTTTGATTGCCGTTTGTGTTGATAATAAGACTGAAAGCAAGTGGCGACGAACTGTCAAAGCTATCAAAGTCATGCTCATGTTTATGGAACGATGGCCTGAACCTCGGGAGTTGACTTTGACTTTTTTGACTCCCGTGCATGAGGGTTTGATCCAACGATTCGGATCCAAATTTAGTCTTGCTTCTTTGGCAAAAGAAACGAACAAACACAACTACCCAGAAAATATACCGATTCTTGTCAAGCAATTTTTAATTAATAAACATTAATTTTTTACCAATAATCGTCTCCTCCGTCTAACAAACGTGTAGAGTTGTGTGACTTACTCATCATTGACATTTTACTTTTTTTCTTTTCCATTTTACTGCAATTGGATTTATGTTTTTTGAGTCCGCGTGTCCTGGGTTTCGCGTTCGTTACTGGAAGTTGAACATTGAGAACTCCTAGCAGTAGTGTAAACATCGCGACTGATCTTAGCGAGAACATGGTCGTTCTTGGATTCGATTCGAATTTGATGAAGATGGACGTATAAAGTAATTATTGCGTCAATTAGAGCTAAGAGTGGTGTTATTAATGTTAGAGTTAATATTAAATTGCTCATTTTATGAGTAATTTCATAATTTTAAATTACTCGACCTGTTACTCTTCGTCGGAGCGTGGACGCTTGCGCGGGGCGTTCGTATCGGAAGCGTGGGACGGCGTTTGGGAGTTGGTACATCATCTTCCGTCTTGGTGACCGCAAGAACTTCGGCGTCACTGATCGTCCCGAATTCACCGCCATCGGGTGCGATTTCAACTTCATCAGGAATGGAGTGGTCGTCTCCTGTGATGGTTGGTGCCTCGTTAGTGTTCACGGCTGCAGCAACACCAGCCGCCGCAGCGTTTTCGCGGTTAGCGGCTTCTTCCATCATGACACGTACAGAAGGGGAACCAATTTGATTGGCAATTTCTGACTTAATCAACATGATATTCTTGTTAACAAAAATAACTTCGTCAAGTGCAAGCATAACACAAACAGTACTGCGGTAAACGACGCGGTAGTTCATGTTGTTAAAAGCCATGTCGGTTAACAACTTCTTGTAACGCTGACGGAGTTCAAGACAAACGTCATTCGATGTGCAGTCGACATCTTCAGTATCATAAATGAGTGCTTGTATTTCGACAATATTAATAGAAGTAACCCTGTTACGTTGCTGCATGAAAGGATAAGCGTGTGCAAACATACGGTTGCGGATCCTAGTAACCTCATGACGCATCCGAGACAGATGGTTCATTACCTTGCCCATTTTAGAATTTGGTGTTTCAATACATTCATAGACCTGTGCGCGCATCTCCGGTGGGAGAGTACGCATCATGGCTATCAAATCAGTTGTCATCTTTCAAGTTTTTGGTTTCTCAAATTTATGAAGCTTTGGAAACCCAAATGAAAACATTGGCGCGGGTTTTTTGGGAGGAGTGAAGTTTCAAAAAAAAGATCTTAAGCTTTGTTAACTTACGAGTCAATAGCCGGCCGATCACACACTAGTTGAACGTTAATCGTGGTTAGATTTCCAGGCGGTTTTGTGTCAAACTGCTATGATCCAATAATCTATTCACCCATAACTTCGCGCAATAGTACCAATGTGTGTCCACTTCAAACTGAAACTTTGACAACAATGCCAGAGGGCACCAACTCCGAACTTCGAAGCGTAAACCAATTCCATGGTAGATGCATGCCAATGCGATACCGGATGGTTTGAACATAGCAAATGCAGGATCATTTAGGACAAGGACTGCGATTTCGTTCGCTTTTTGTGTTATTGAAGTCATGCTCCTTGTGTCAAACTGTTCGCTGAGCAACTCCGACAAATGTTTAATATATTCAAAAACTGACGGTTTTGACTTCCGTTGGTTGCATTCGACCACAATGAGCTCTTCCATGTCCAAAAATAGGCCTGTGTCCACTTGTAGCAATCTCGTGAACTGATGAAGATTAAAGAGGTTCTTGTAGTGATGGTTGGTCACTGTATAAAACGCGATAGCGAGTATCAAGGACAGAAAACCATCGTCCATGTACAGAAGTACATCATTTTGTATCACAAAACGATCTGCCAAATAAAACGTTTTCTCAACTATATGCATTGGTACGTTGTCGCTTTGACAGTTCATTAAAAGTTTCTCTCGGTGTGCGTAATAACCCGCGTTTGCCCATCTAAGTCCAACGCCGCGCCAGTCGTCATACTGTACTTCCTGTTTTAGCAAACGCTTGACGTTTTCAGCGTCGATGTTCATTGTCATAAAATAATTTCTTAAAAACCTGAAATGGCTGTACGAAGACGAACAACAGGTCGTAGGACCGCAAAACGAGGGGGTCGTAAATCTAGCTTTAAAAGTAGCTTCAAACGAAAATATGGTGGTAAACGTCGATCCACGTTCAAACGTTCCTCGAATTATGGAACTAGCCAAGCGGCGCGGGAGCTCGCCGTCTATTTGAATCCCATGTCACTAAAGACTCAGGCGCCTCGAATCCCAGATGGATCACGTAACATGACTCTTGGTGTCAGTTATCGATCACAGCTAGTGGGTGAAGGTAATGCAGCCAACGGAGGAAATATTCAAATTCTTTTATATCCGGGTTTTACGTGTTTTGGTGCTATCCTGAAAAGAAAAGTATCCACATCAACTTGGTCCGCCGACAACCTAAACGATCCAGCGGACTTAGCATTTGCCAAACGACCGCTAACGACAGGTGGGGGACCTGGAGCAGGTCTTACTGCTCCTCCCACCACGGGAGAAAACATTGGAATAATCCCTAACAATCCATCTGATTTGGAAGGTTGGCGGTTAGTGAGTTGTGGGATGAAAATCAGAACTATCAACAGCGATGAACAAAACAACGGTCATTGGCAAGCAATTCGTCTTAAACAATGTCACAATAATAAACACAGGGTTACAGCTGGTAGCCATTACCCTGTTACTGACGAGTTGCCAGAAAGAGCTACATGGCCAAATGATAATTCCTTTAGCTCGGGAAGAATTAAAGACCTTATACGAAAAGATTTCATGTTAGCAACCGAAAATCATTTGCATCCGTGGGTCTTATTTGCTGTTGACAGCACATCTTCAACACAATTACAAGACGATTCTTTTGATATGATTTTGGTAGACATTTGGGGAAATGAAACCACGCGGATCTTAATCGATTTCTATGGGAATTACGAATTTAACTACCGGGCTAATTCGCATGTAGCACAATTCATGAATAGTACGAATCAAGTATATCCGGCAACATTGTCTGCAGTACAACAAAAGAAGCGGCTACGCACAATAAAGGCAGCACATTAGTGCCGTTATCTAAAAAGCAATAACAAATATTAGTCATTTAAAACCATCGCAGGCATCGTTTCATTTAAGTAAATGATATTGTATCGGTCACTGGATAATTTAGACATATCTGGTTCTTCGTTCATTAACACAATCACGTGTGGTGTGTCGAATTCTTTGTTCCGTGAATCGTATTTACTAGAAAACACGTATCCGTTCTTCACTTCTTCCAAAAAATCGTACTGAATAAAATCCCCTTGTTTCGACCGGGGGCAGTCAAAGAACACGACCAATGGTTCCGAGATTAGAGTGTAAGCCATGTCAGCCTTTTTACCGGGGACAATGACTTGGCAACGATTTGTCTGTTCGTGTTTGCGACAATAAGTGTGTGCAAACCATGTCTTTCCTTCGTTACCAGTGACGTCAACAACAAAAATAATCTCACGTTTGTTTGGCTCACCGTTAAGTACTTCCGCCAGATTAGCTTGCCATTCCCGATAATTAAACTCGCCCAAAATACGTTTTGGGGCGTTGTCCTGGATATAATCATGGAAGAAGCGATGGTAGTTCGCAGCAACTGTTGCGTGTAACTTGCGAAGCACTTTGGGGTCACGTTCTCCGTTTTCAACTGTCTCCATGAAGGCCTGTAGGTCGGTTCTTTTTCTAGCCTGTGTTAAGTCAGCACGACTGCCTATCTCGAAAAAATCTCCGTCTTTTTTACAGTAAGCAATTGACTCATCAACGTATCTAGTACCTTCACAATGCATATTAAGTTTGATTGCCGCTTGTACCTGACGCATACGTTTCTTTTTTTTGAATTGAATATATCCCTGAAGATGTGGAGTGCCGGTTTCAGGTGCAATTTCCTTACCAATAACAGCATAGGCAACGTCGTTCAACGATTTTATGCGTTCAACATCTTCATCCGTATAATTGTTTAAAGTAAAACACCAATTTTTGGCCGCGGAAGCAACAACCATCTTGTTCACACAAAATGGTTTTTAAAGTTATGATTAATTATATTTTCTTTTCTTGAATAAATGGCGGTCAAATCGATTGTTGCGTTCTGACATGTGCTGCATCATATTTACAAGCTCGTCGGCGTTCAACGCAGCGGTGCGCTTGCGGCCATTTTGGGCGCCACCAACTCCCACGACGTCAGGGATTATCGTCCGTGTAGAGTTAGTGTTAGGTTGGACACCATTCACGGCTTCATGCATCATCACTGTCTGTTCCAATAGAAATGGTCCCGATGCAAAATGAACCGCGTTGACCAGCGATTGAACCTCGTTTTGTGTTTCAAACGCGTAAACTAGATGTTCCGGTGGGTATTGAAGTTCGTAATTCATTACGACTTGAATGTTAAATTTTCGTTCTGGGTGTGACCTTAACAGAATAATACGCGTTTGAAACGACAAATCTTGCATATCGTCTACGAAATCACTGTAATTGCTGTCGCCTAAGACATATTTCTTTTTCAAATGGTTGATTGGATGACTGACATCATTTGGTAGTTGTCGGTACTGAAGTTCATTCTGGTGGTGAAAACTACCTGACATATAAGTCTGTGAGTCTCTCCATTTGTCCACTTGTCCGTATAAACGGGCGATCTCGGGGATAGACATAGAGACTCCTTTTCTCTCTAAAGCTTGGGCGGTACTTTTTGCTTTGGAGGTTTTGGTTGATGTTCCATGACGAGTTGGAATGGACACCGTTTCGAAGTATCCTTCTTGGTTGGTCTCAGCTTCCGTGCACAAGATGCGGAGTCCTTGAGACACAACCCTCCAGTTGGCTGGGCCTTCCAATGTGACCTCGGTAGGGGATGTCGTGTCGTCAATACTAGCGATTTCGTGTAATGCTGGGTCTACATGTTTCCAAATTTGCCCGTCGCTGAGTTTGTAAACCATTGCTGGAATATTTAGGCTTGGTTGTAAAACGACCATTGTCAGTGCATAACCGTTTACAGTCACGGTGTCAGCTACAACGTCCAATGAAATCCTATTTTGTAAGCCTATGCTTTTGTCCATACGTCCATCTTGTAGTTTGGGTGGGTTAGATGTACGTGAAAACGGGTTAATTATATATGATGCCATACTAATGACCTGGGATGTATGGTTTCTTCCTTTTCAGTTTTGTGGCTGAAGGCAAACCGGGGTCTCTTCGGACGGCGTGTCTGGCACTGGCGTGCTTGGCGCGATTGTGTCCTTTATTAAATGTTTGAAATTGTCCAAACTTTGTTCCTTCCACGATTTGGTACTCGCGGTTAGTAATGAATTCAGCGCGAATCTTAACCGATGTCGGAGCTCCCCAAAATCGGATGAGGATTGTATCTTTATATTCATATAACATTGATTTGTGAAAACATTCGTTACATTCTTTCCTGTCGGTGACAATGGGAATGCCATTTTCGTACGTAGTGTCTTTTATATAAATGTCAGCTTCTCCTTCACCGGATCTAGAAATCAATGTAGGGGGTCTTGGAAATGGTTCCGGTTCACATGGGGCATAAACCTTGTCATTCCTGCCCAGATACCATTCGAAGAAATCCAACTTGTCAGGGTTGCTGATAGTTCCAATGTCAACTGTGGGATGAATCTCTGTAACCAAAGATACTGCTTCTGCTGGTGTGGTGGCGCCTTTCAAATCGATCTCAAAGTCTCGGTATAACCATCCGACTTGATAGTCCAGAAAAATATAGAAATCGTTCAAGAATAGATTCTGATGAACGCCTTCATTACAATAGCTTTCATAAAAAGAAAAAGGTTGCCACATGTCGTCCACCCCAATAGGGGGTACTATACCTGTGGTAAGCGTTGATACCTGTGAGCATGGTTTGTACATGTCTGGTGTTTGACGCTTTGTCATATACCAGGTCAAAAGCTTCAATGTATCTGTATCATCCCAACCTGGGGGTATAAGACGGCTGTGTAGTTCACTTGGTGTTAGAAGTGTAGCGGCTTCTGTTGGTGTGGTGGCGCCCTTCAAATCGATCTCAAAGTCTCGGTATAACCAGTTGTATACATAGTCCATCATTGTGATTGGTTCCCCGGGTATCAAATTTGTATCGTCAATACCGGAAGTATTCGGGAACCGTAAGTAATATGACGACCAGATAGGACCTGTGTTGAGTGTTGACATGGTCTCAACATGCCCCACTGGATTTGGATAATTATCCATCACAATAGGAGTACCGGGTGTCCAGGTATCAAACAAATCATCAGGGAGAAGGGTGTCCAATCCTTCAACTCCTCTTTTTACCCGAATACGCCACTCAAAAAACGGTCGGCGTTCTTCCCAGAAAAACGGTGTTGTTCCATCAAACGCGTTAGGTCTTGAATATGTCAAAGCCATGACAGTTTGAAAGGCGTCGGCTGACGTAACATCGCCAATGAGATGATCATGCATAGTCCGATCAGCTGGTCTGTTGCGAAACATCCAGGTTAGAAATAAAAACTTTGTTCCAGTGTCTTCGTTGCCACCAAACAGTGTTCTTGGAGTATTCATATCATTCAATATATCTTGGTAGAACAAAACATATCTCATCTTGTCTTGCAATTCTATGTCAGCTGGGATGTACGGTGGGAATGAACCATCTGTTTTGTAGAACTCTGTACCACAGCGCTGCATCAGATTGCCCATTGACGACGTCATCGGATCCCAGTTATCGTAAATGCCATCTAAAGAAGCCCCGAGCAACACTTGATGCCTCCATTCAAAGAAGTCGTATGCATGTTCTTCGTCAACGAAGAGACCATCATTCTTGTCCAATGGGTCTTGTAACTGATTCCAGATTGGGTTGAAAACTGAGCTCCATACAAATGAAAATGATACATTGTACTCTGGCATAGCCGTTATATAATGATCATGTATAGACCTGTTGGTGTTGTCACGGGTGGACCACCAATAGTAGTGTGTGTAGTGCAATGGTGTTTCTGTTTTTTGCGCGTGTAATTTCATACGTCTGAAACTCCTCCAAAAATCTAGATCCCAAGGAATATGATGAGGGTGTGGTTGGGGTGTCTCATAATCTTTTTTGTAAAAATCATTCCCACAACACTTTAAAGGTGTTGGAACTGTAGAACAAAGTGCTGGGACATCAGTTCTATACTTCCATCTTCTACCAGGTTCTGCGATGTCAATAACAGGACCTGTTGCAACAAGTGACCATCTTGTGGATGTAGGGGGGGCGTGGTTTACAGGATCTTTCCCTGCATTGTAAAATATTGAATCATTGTAGCCCACTCCAATATATGTCATCTCTGGTGCTGTCAGTTTTGCCAGCTCTGTCGGATTAGCATGCAACCAAGCTTCGAGATCTGGTGGGTACACGAGCTGATCTTCTATTGGTGTGTCTGTGCCAGCCACTACTTCTGTATGAACGGAAGTATCCATCCAATAATTGGTTACCAGTCGATCTGCTGTAGTCACGCCCCAGGGTGCTGGTTCTGGTGATATGATGGTTGGTTCATATTGACGTCCTAAGAAGTCGTTTACATGACGTTGGGCTGTTGCCACAAGATGTGCATGGGTAATAAGCTTTGCTCTACCTAATGCGACTCTCTCGTCATTGAGAAAGTTGACAATATATTCCATGTATGGGTCGCTGCATGTCCAACCGTTGGTGATATTAAGGAATGAGATGAATGAAGCATCAGCATTAGGATTGGGGGTACCATTTGGATACCCTGTGCACACATGCTCGCTGTCTATTTCGCCTTTTTGATGTCCAACGACAATAGCCCTTTCGTGCATGTACTTGTCCAGGGGACTGGAAAATCCTTCAAATTCTTGAAAATACATATCTCCAAGTCCAGCGTTTTCCAAATCAGCTACTGTTTGATACTCAGGTTCTTTGTAGGCAAAACCATGGGCTATGAATACCATTTCATTGGGTATGATTTCATCTGCGGTACCAAATACCTGGTCCCATTCCGTGTTATTCGCTTGGCGAATTTGTCTCATGTAGGAATCAAACGTCTTTTCAGCGTTTGGTAACTCCAAAGTCAATGTATCACCGAATGGTGATACTTTCTGTAGCCGAGGAAATGTGGATGCTTTCACAACATCCACGCCTTTGAATGGTAAACTCACCAATAAATTGTACCAGCTCATTCCCAAAAACAGTCGCATTGCCCTTTCGCTCTCAAACTTCGGATCCAAAATATGTGTTGTCATATATGAATCAATGACAACATCAATACTTATTGGAAGTTTCTCTTCGACTGTCACTGCAGGGAAGTCACTTGGGAATCCAAATTCGTATTCAGTTAAACTGTGATAACGGTCGAATAACTCTTTGGTAAATGCCAGCACAGACATATCAAATCTGCTGGCAAATCTCTTAGAATACTCATGTAAATACTCATAAGGATGATAGGCATAAAACGTGAAGTAGTCAGCTGGTGGCTTCCTTACCGCGCTAGGGAGTGCGGGGAAGTCATTGTTGTATACGTATCCAGTAAAATCCGCAGGAATAAATGACCGGGGTGTTGGTGGTGTCAATAACGCGTCGCTTGTTAATGTATTCAAGTGATTCAATACATTGATAGGATTGCCGTCATCCAATATACCTGGCGGAAATGGGAAGTCCGCGTCAGTTTCAGCAAAGTCGGGAACAACTTGCCAATGTGGCGATGTGCTCTCCATAAAATTAATGCGCTCCCCGGGAATCTCCCCGCGATTTGGTGGTTGCTCACTCACTGGTGTGGATTGTCGATGGTACAACCAATAGTTGAAAGCAATGAATTCTTGTGGTGTTCCAAAAGGATTGCCGTATGGATCTTTCACTTCGTTCATGTCAAAGGAGTAAGCCATTTCGTAGACTAATCGACCAAAGTCTTCATACAACTCGGTCAGTTCGTTTACAGGCCATCCTTTTTCGGAAACCCATACAGGTAGTGTAGGAGGGGTTTTCAACCCACCATACTTGTTGTCATATAATACCAAAAATTGTTGTTCTTTAGCTAATCGGTGTTTCCTTTCAGATGACGTCTCCGGTTTCCTGAAGCCTTCGTAAGGTGTATGCTCTGATTCTTGGTAATCCCATACAGTGTTTGTGACTGGATCATCTGTTCCATATACAGAGGCATATTCTCCACAAACAGTAGCGTCATATGTATAGACTGTGTTGATATTCGGGAATGGAAACTCATTGGGTCTCGGCCAGACACTTGAGTTCTTGCCTAACCAGGGTGAATTCCCGGATGCGGTAGGCGGATACAATCCTGGACCGGCTGCAGTATGATACCTGTAAACAGGGTCATAAGAGTCCTTTAATAGCTCGTCAATCGCTTGCATCTCTGCGATTGATAAATTCTCTTGCCAATCTGACGGACGGTTCAGCTCGGGTTCTTCTCGTAAATCGTTCGGATAATCGGGATGATCAGGACATTTGTAGGGGGAGTTCAGCTTCTTCGCAGCTATATCCAAAGCAGTGTCTTTAATGTCCACTACTGGTTCTGGTTCTGGTGGAGGATTCTGTGGTGGTGCTTGTGCGTCGTTTTCTGCGATCCACATAAATCCTACGCCACCGTATCTTAACCGGGGAGCTGTCTTGTATGACACTCCCATTGATTTGTGTTGCGGGGATTCTAGCATTGCTCTATGGAGCCCGGAAGCTATCCATTGGGCAACCATGTCTGCTTTGCTTCCGAGGTACATAAGTTCCAAAGGTCGTTCTACTGATGTTTCAAAGTTAAGTCTTCTTTCATCAGACAATGTTCCGTTGGGGTAGCCCTCAATCGGGTGACCTTGTTTGATAATTCCAGTGATGGGATCAACTATATTGTCCATGGACCTCGGGTTATCGGAAACCCATGTCGTTTGGTTTAGTGCTTCTTGTGTCAACCGAATATCGACTGACCAAGGTGTCAAGCCTTTTGTGGCTCTATAAGCGTTGATCTGGTTCAAAATAGAATCCATTTCGTTGATATGACTGTTCACTGGTGTGTTAGTCTCTTGAATCTCGGGTCTCTCGATAGCTTGTGGATGTGGATTGGGGTTCGACGGGTTTGAGGGTGCCTCGCCGGAATATCTCGTATGACAGTCACTCACATCTGGTTCATCACTATCCACTTCGTATGGTGTACCTGATGGTGTCAAAGGATCTCGTTGCCAAACATTGGGATCCGCTTCTTTGACTGTTGGGTCAGGATTCGGTAGTATAACATCAGGCCAATCTGTAACTTCGATGTCGTCTATACTGAACTCTGTTATATCGTACTCTGTCATGACTGTCTCGTCATCCTTCTTGGGGGGTTTTGTGGCAGTATAAGTGTTTGTGTTAGGTCTTGGTGGGAAACCAATCAAAGGAGGATAGGTCCAATTGGACCTCCCGGTTCGTCTCCTGGATCGTCTCCTGTACCATCTGTTGGTGATTATCAGTATCGGACACATCATCAAAGACGTCGTCTAAGTCTTCGTCTACAGGTGGGTCTTCAGCTGGGTCCGTGCCGGTACCTTCTCCGGTATTCATAGCGTCGTCGCTGTCTTCGCATATTTTCATGCAGCATTGGCACACCCATGGCCAACAATGATGGTTAAGGTTTAGTTGAAAATAGCTGTGGTGTAATTCGTCTAGTGCACCACTTGAGTATGTATTATCGTTCTGCCATTTCGAAATGTTCCATGGGTAGTCAGGTATGGGATTGAGACCGTTTTCGTCTTGATGATACTCCCATACAACTTTTTCGAAGCCACGTGTGTCGACACGAATGCTTTCCCAAATTACTGCCGTTTCTGTTGTGTTAATAGCGTGAAAGCGCACTTGTTGAGAAACAACGCGCCAACATTTCACGACAGGATCCCAATTCCTTTCTTATAAAGGCTAGTTCATTAGACCCTTCTGTTTTCTGTGTTAATGTAAAGGGTAGTTCTGCGAACTCCTTAGGGTGTATGTTGTAAACCTCGTTTCGTTGGTACAGTTGTCCACCGACACCTTGTGCTTTAAATCCTGGGTAGCACATTATACCATAACTTTTATTCGGTTCTACCTCGAACTCGAAAGTATCTTTATATTGGCATCCAATTGAGTACGGTGTACTCCCGTCGTGTACCTTGGGGTAGCTCGACGCTTCAGCTCTTGGATTTCGTAACCACTTGTTCATTTTTTTTAAAGAATGAGAAATGAGACAAGAAAGAGCTTTGCATCATAATGCAAAGTGAGCCTTACTTTTGGAGTATGGCTTAGGGGGGTGTTGGTCCCGCGTTTGATTACCCTATTACTGTGTTGCCTCTCTTCGAAACCGGTACTCGTCTTCTTAAGGGTTAATCTTGACACGATACCTGACGTGACGTTGTCACAAATGAGAACTGGATAGTGACGCACTCGCAAAGATCCAGATGAAATCGCACAGGGAAACATAAAAAAACGGCGGAGGATCTTGCTCATAAAATCTGAAATCATGAGCTTGAATCGCGCCTACACTTACTACACTTTCGCCAACCTTGATGGTAACAGGGTTTCCCACGATGACGAGCATAGGAAGAAACTAGTGCTTTGCGCCATGAAGACGGAGGACAACAGCCTGCATGAGGTTGCGGCGTTGTTTTTCAAGCAACAAGAAAGGATCAACAGTGACAATGGCAAGGACGTTTCGCCTATCGTTGTGGTGGCGAATCAGCTCATCAAAGCGGGTTTTGGGCTCATGAGTGCTTCTCGTGGTGTGGTGGCGGATGAAGATGAGATTTGTTATGAAGATGTCCCAGAGATGAACATGCAACAGTTGATGGATTTCGATGCCCTTGGTGGTATGACCAAACAGAAGGCTCGACAGGTTTTCAATCGGAGCAACATGGAGATGACCAAGAGGTATTCCTCAAAGGTGGGTCAAATCTACCAGCTCTTTGATGACATCACGGCGAAAAAGAATGCACCCAAATGGGCTCGCGGGGTTACCCAACCTAGCAAAAGTAACACCCTTGGAAGCAAGATTGTTCCTATTGTGGTTGATGAATTTGCAGGCATTGGTGATAAGGAAGTTGAGGCGATTGGGATGAACGATGACGTGTGTGCTGTGCGTGATGCCTTCCTTGCGGATGAGGCTGACGTTGCATTGACGTTGTGTGCTTTGGATGATAACAAGCGTGAAGCAGATGATGATGGTGACAAACAGAAGGCTAAGAAAAAGCAGAAGACTACACAGAAAAAGGTGGTGGTTGATGTGGGTGTCACCAAGATGGACGTCTAAAATAATATTAGATCTTTTTTTTTGAAATTATTTTACCCCATACCCCTGGAAAGAACACAGGGAAACAAGGAAACAGGGAAAGGGATTGGGAGCGTTGGTTACGAGGGTTGGATGCGGTTAAAATGCATCCTCTCCAGTAGGATCGGGTTGCGCCTCGGATGCATGTTTAATATTGAAGAATCGTTCCAGCTCTTCTTAACCCTTCATGTGATAGATCCATAGTTCGGCGGTTGGGATGTCATAAAGTTGAGCAATCTCACTAACTGCTTGGCGAGTGTTGAGATACTCTAGTGATTCAAGTTCTTTAGTTACCGTCATGGACGCGTCTTCCAGTACCTCAGAAGAGGTACGGACCGCACCGTTGCTTCCGACAACGCGAACTTCCGATGGTTGCATTTCCTCACATCCAAACGGCATCGGGATTGTCATTGTCATTGTTTGGATGTAATGGGCTGAAAGTGACTTTTTTTAAACCGGGAAATGAAACTTTGCGAGTGCTTCGAAATTGTGAATTCGATCAGCACAGTCATTGAGTATTATAATGATCCTAGTCATGTGCGTCTCAGACGGCGCGCACAGGGCTTGATTTGCTTCCACACGCGCCCGGTTTCGCGGACGCGCTGTGGTATACTCAACGACGTTACACACGCAATAATAAACTAAGCACACGTCGCACACCAGATTGGCTATCTAACTCGATCCCTATCTGGTTTCTTCCCGTGGTAATTCCGAATTAACATCAGCCACATCAATAAAGAACATTTCAATTATAGACTGTGGGGTCTCGGAATATACCGTTATTGCCATCGGATTTAGGATCTATCGGGGGGTCAATTAATATAGGTGAGGTTTATATTGTTTACGTACTATCAGAACGACATTATCCTTTATCTCTTAAATCTTCAGCTTTGCTCTATAACAAA